TCCGCCAGATCTCGAAAGCACGGCGGCAGGTAGATGGAAAACAGACCGCGACGGAGGATATTTTGGCTTAAATTAAGTCTGGAACTATGAGAGACAAGAATCAAGATAGACTAAGAGAGAGGATAATTTAAAAACACAGAAGACAATACCTATACCAATCCGTGTAAGAACCATTATCGGAATGATCAAAGCAATACAAATAACATAACTAAGACTATATTCTGTTGGATGGGACACGAAGTGGGGCTTCAACACAAACCCATGGGGTTGTAGTGAATGGATTCACTGTGTCATTCCGAGCAGCTCACGGGCTCAGAGTAATAAAGAGAATGGTTTTATAGATCGGTGACTCAGGCTCAGGCTCAGGCTAGAACCACAAACGGGCAAGTTTTGGTTTGTTTCTATGTAGTGCTTTGGCTGCCTTCAGCAGCAAACAGGCAACATACGTACTAACAAACATAATTCTGAGCTACTCTGGGGGATGACCGCATTGGGAGACCTTCGCTCCTTTTTCGTTTGGAACCCGAAAGCTTTGACCCCACGAACCAATTCCGAGACTCCCGCTCGAAAAGTCCTCCCTGAACTAGTTGGTTACTACGTGCTCCGTACTACTACCAACGTACTTAATACCAGGGTTGATCAAACTGTGGACAATCAACCCTTTTTTTTTCTCTTCTTTTTTTTTCCTTTTCATTGTTGAAAAAGTGACCGTCCTCCGTTCATGAATCCGGTCGCAATCCATCTATAAGATAGTCTACCCATCCATCTACCGGCGTGGAGGGATTTCCAGAGCGTAAGTACCGCACGAGAGTGAACTACGTCCTGCGAGCTAGTCTAGTTACTAGTAGCCGGGGGCTTATCAACCTTATCGCCAAAACGACACACATGGCCAATTTGGAAATCTTTCTCCGGAGATCTCCTGATCAACTAACACTCCGACCTCGAGCTGATAGACTACTGCCAATATCTCCCACGAGCTTTCCTCGGCATTGCCGCATTCGCCTCAACCGCTAAATCCTCTGGCTCTGTACCCTTCCCCCGCCCGGGGTCGAGACGCGTTGTTAAACTTGCGTAGATTAGGTACGTGTTCTTGCAGAGTTCTCCCTATTCTCCATAACCATATCGCCCATTGTACCTCTCTTCCTACAGGGGTGCTATACAACATGTATAGCTTTGACTAACGCATGACTCCTCTGAATCGTTTACAGATTGTCGTATACTTTCAACCCACAAACACCCAGTATCGCCGGCTTCCTCCATAATACACCCCGGTTGTCCCTCCCGTTTTAGCCTTCGCGCCGCCGTGGTTTTCTAGCTTCAGTGCTTCCGAAATCCGTGTAAGACTATTTATCGCTGGGGATCGCCCCGTTGACCAATCCGTCACAGTGTACAGCGAATCAACAATGGCTGCCCGCACAAGAAGACAACAGGCTGCTTTGGCCGCTCAGTCGGATAGCAATGAGTCGCCGGCTGGCAATGGTACCGTTGAAAATTCACCAAAGAAGACCAGAACGTCGGGCAAGAAGGAAGTGAAGGAGAATGTATATTTGTTTGCCCCTAACCTTATTGGTAAGGAGCTTCTTCCCGTCTCGTCAATCTTCCACGATGTTCCGAACGGACGCTTACCGGTGGCGTGGGATTAGGATATCTACGGGTGGTTTTGACAATGGCTTCGTTGTACTACATGCCGCTGCATCCGCGAACGTGCTCCCTTCTTTATAGCGTGTCTTGCTTGCTGGATGCGCTAGACGGATATGCAGCACGCTACTTCAACCAGTCCACCACCTTCGGCGCGGTTCTGGATATGGTGACGGACCGCTGCACAACTGCGTGTTTACTGGTGTTCCTGAGCTCGGCGTGGCCTCGCTGGTCTATTATCTTTCAGAGTCTGATTGCCTTGGATATGGCCAGCCATTACATGCACATGTACGCTACCCTCAGCATGGGCGGGTCTGGCCAAAGTCACAAGAAGATCGATTCTAGCAGGAGCTGGATCCTGTATCAATACTACAACAGCAGGGTGAGCTATACCTAGCCATATGAGTAGCCCCCATAAACTGACCATGCCTACAGACCGTTCTCTTCATCTGCTGTGCTCTTAACGAGCTTTTCTTCATTGGCCTATACCTTCTTTCGTTCTCGTCTCCTATTCTGTCTCCATCCCTTCTCCAACCCGTGTCAGGCTCTGGATCCGACGCTGCGCAGCCGATCTCGACTGACTCGTTCGCCAGCCCATGGAGCGCTGGCGCGCTGGAGATGGCTAGGGCCAACAAGATTGACAGCACCTGGCCTTGGATTATCACTGGAATCTCGGCACCCGTGATGGCTCTAAAGCAGATCATCAACGTGGTACAGCTTATCAAAGCTAGCAACTGGCTGGTTGAAGGTGACATTGCCAACCGCAAGGCGCTGCGAGGTAACAAAAACTAGGTCTCTGGCGCAGCTGTCGGGTACCTGGCAGCTAGTGACACTACGGCTCTTTCTCATATAATCTGGGAAATATTGCTACCGCTAGGGCCTGATTCATATCTTTATACTTGCATGGCTTTGGTGCCTGGTTACTTCTTTGGGGCTAAGGAAAGCTCCCCCGGTTCTTTGTCTCTTCTTCTCCTTTATCACCTGGTTCCCTTTCTATGATGCCTTTTGCGGAAGATATGTCTCGGTTGGGAGGAAATTATGGATTTATAGGTCTGTGCAGACCATTGTGGGCCAAACCCATTTCGAATGACTTATAATTGCTTCGACTGTTGTCTTAATTACGGACTACCTATTTGCAACCCCCCCCCCTCCCTTTTTCTTTTGCTTTTCGTCTTCATTTCTTTCTGTCTCTTTATAAACTTCATTGTTTCTGTTTTCCTTTCTCTCAGATTGTCTCTGACATGTTTTAAAGATTTTAATCTGGTACTGTGTATTAGTGGACATACAATTGCTTTCCATGAATGGTTGCAATGATCCGGAAATAATACCAAAATAACAAAAGACACCGCCCTTAGTAATTAGCTTGTTTCTACTAGCGTTGCAGTTGCATGAGCCGGCGGTTAATCACGGGGAAGTCCGACTGCGGCTCCGGTGTCGGCGCGCGGGGTGACTCGAGATCCACCCCTCATGGCCATATAACTCTCGGTGCTTTCTGTCTTTGAGCTTGGTTTTCCCGTCAGTGTTATAGTTCATTGTACTCAGGCAACTGCTTCATAATGTCTTCTTACAACATCGTTGTCTTTGGTGGAGACCACTGTGGTCCGGAGGTGAGCCACTGAATATCAGTCATGTACACTTCTCAACGTCCGTTTACTGACCATCATTTATAGGTCACCGCAGAGGCCATCAAGGTAAGCATTTTTGACCACACAATTAGACCTCTCGGGGGACTTGAGAAAAAATGACCTAGCATATACTAACCATGAAATTTGTCGATGGCCAGATCCTCCGTGCTGTTGAGAAGAATCGTGATGTCACTTTCAACCTGCAGGACCACTTGCTGGGTGGGGTACGTTTGCACTTTAGGTCCTCTGGGATACTCTCTGGTATTAGCATATGGCTTACTGAATATCATAGGCATCAATTGATGCCACAGGATCTCCCTTGACCGACGAAGCCTTGAACGCAGCTAAGAACGCCGATGCCGTTCTCCTGGGTGCCATCGGTGGACCGGTATGGCACACTTTCAACGATTCAAATGCGGCCCAAACAAGATAACCTAATGTGAGACTAGAAATGGGGCACTGGCGCCGTCCGCCCTGAACAGGGTATCCTGAAGCTCCGTAAAGAAATGGGCACCTTCGGCAACCTGCGCCCCTGCAACTTCGCCGCACCCTCCCTCGTCGAGAGCTCTCCCCTCCGCGCCGACGTCTGCCGTGGTGTCAACTTCAACATCATCCGTGAACTGACTGGCGGTATCTACTTCGGTGAGCGCAAGGAAGACGACGGCAGTGGATACGCAATGGACACGGAGCCGTACTCGCGCGCTGAGATCGAGCGCATCATCCGTCTGGCCGGTCACCTTGCCCTGCAGCACGATCCCCCTCTTCCTGTGTGGAGTTTGGACAAGGCCAACGTCCTGGCCACTAGCCGTTTGTGGCGTAAGGTTGTTACCGAGGTTATGGCCAAGGAGTTCCCCCAGTTGAAGATCGAGCATCAGCTTATCGACTCCGCTGCTATGATCATGGTCAAGAACCCCCGCCAGCTGAACGGTATTGTTGTTACCAGCAACCTGTTCGGTGATATCATCAGTGATGAGGCTAGCGTTATTCCTGGATCTCTGGGTTTGCTTCCCAGTGCTAGCTTGAGTGGCATCCCTGATGGAAAGAGCAAGGTTAACGGTATCTATGAGCCTATTCACGGTATGTCTTAGGCCCCGCGTTGCTTTCCTGCCTTGAGTATATACTGACGTGAAGAAAGGCTCTGCCCCTGACATTGCCGGAAAGGGCATTGTCAACCCTGTCGCTGCTATTCTCTCCGTCGCTATGATGATGCAGTACTCTTTCGGCCTGTTTGCCGAAGCCCGCGCTATTGAGCAGGCTGTCAGCAACGTTATCGAGTCCGGTGTCCGCACTGGTGACATCGGCGGTAAGGCCACCACCGTCGAGGTTGGTGATGCTGTTGCTGCCGAGTTGGAGAAGCTTTTGAAGTAAGCGAGACCAAATAATAGGAGATAGAGGGATGAATGGGGAAAAGTACAACTTTAGGCTACATGCCCAATGAGATATGACCTTCTGGATAAGTTATATAGATGACAAATATTTGAATTAATGCGCTTTTGATTCCCAGACCCTCGATGCTCCATGAAAATAATTTGTATAACGTATAATGCTGAGTTTATTGTCCTCCAATGCACGATTGAACCGACACAATGATAGATGGGTATCTAAACAACCGGAACTCCGAATACCAACCTAGCCTTGATGCTCCTCATGCCCATGATTCATACCTATATATGAGGCCACCACCCACAAAACACCAGGGCCTGCAAAAGTCCACAGCAGCAATGCACTTCTCGTCCCCTACCGAATGACAGGCTCCCCCATCCAATCTGGCTCTTCTAAACCAGCAACCTTTTCCGGGTCCGCATCCCCGTGAATACCACGCCCATCCATCCCATCGTCCGCTGCGCCACGAAGTGACTTCCGCATACTATGCCTCCGAATCCTCCCATCAGCAGAAGCAGACGGCGCATTGCCAATCCGCCGACGCTCGTCATCCCGCGCGAAGACCTGGAACCCGCGCACATGGGTATCCTTACCATTCTGATGATTCTCCATCACACGCATCTGAATAACCATCGCCTTAAGCACACTTCCCGCGTACGGATCATCCTCGTCGTCTTCGATGGCAGTCTCCTCATCGTCGTCTTCATACGCAGCCAGGTTGAACTCCGCCGGATTCTCCGTATCCGAAAACATGTAGTCCGGCCACGCAGAGGACTTCCCCATCCCGCCTTTCCGCGCCCGATTCCGCCGCTTCGTCCGCACCCATCCTCCGTCCCGTCCGCCCACGCCTTCTAACGGTACGTCGACCCACCCGCACGGCGTTTCGTCTTCCCATGTCGCAAACTCGACGAGATCATTCCCGCCCATGCCAGCGAGAAACGTCATCTTCGTGGGTGTGTAACTCTCATCCAGATCAAAGTCGAGGTACACGCGGATTTTGACCACTGCGACGAGCTTGAAGAAGTGCAGGGTGAGCGTGTGCGGCTGCGGGCCGTCGGACTGCCAGTACTGTGTCGGCGACGGGTGTCGTAAGGCTGCAACACCACAGCCGGGTTTATGGGTTGAGACAGTCCATGAGGCGAGAGAGGAGATTTCGCGGAGGTTGCTGGGGAGCGGGGACGGTGATCTTGCTGTGGTAGGTGTTAGCTATCGTCTTTTTTTTTTTTTTTGTATGGTTGTAGTGAGTTTCTCTGCTGTAGAGTTGAGGGGGGAATCCGGTAGAGGGATTTTGGTCGTATGAGTTTACCTCGATCGTGCATGACCTCGTCGTCGTCCTCGTCTATTACCTCCAGGTCGTCCTCGACCATCCCATCCATGTCTTCTTCGGAGAGTTGGGCTTCGTGGTCTGCGTTCTCTTGGGAGTTGAAATCGTCGTGGCCATCTTCGTCTTCAAATTGACTGTCATCTTCTTCCTCGTCGTCTTCCATCATCTGTGGGCGTGGACGTCCGGCGACTCCTCGACCAAATAGGGAGAAGAGAGCCGCCTGGGCGGCGGCGGCTGGATGGGCTGGTTCGACCGGCTCGATGGGCCCCGATGAAGGATGTAGCTGGGGAATGCCTTGCGACGGTGGTGTCTGGAATTGAGATTGTGCCGCTGCATGTTGGCCTAGTCGTGATCTACTTGGGCGTGGTTGAGTGGACTCGGAGGGGGATTCTTCTGGAGCAGTGGGGTGCCGGCGGAGGAGATGGTGATGGCGAGGCATTATGCGGTGGGATATTTCGAGTTGTATGGAGGTAGTTGGTGAGATTTATGTTTGGGGACTCATTGCTTTGTTTAATTGCGGAATGTAGCTGTATTTTCGTGTTATCGAGTCTTTGATAAGCTTCATCTTTCGCGTCGCTGCTCCGCGCTATCACGTGCCATATTCCATAGTCTAAAGGATGCAGTAAAAAAAGTACATAACCTATGCTAATCTCAATGCTTTTTTCGTGGGATGCGCTTCCTGTTGAAATCGCGCTGTCTATGCTATATAGCTAAATGTTTGAAGAGTGGTATGATACAGAAGCAACCAAAAAATACAGAAAGAAAGCAGCCCCATTAATAAGATGTATAACTCCTGCTCAGACCGGGCATGATATCTCAAGTGTTGTATAGCCCAGTATTTCACTTTTCGGTGTCCACATACCCCAGTTTCTCACCGACCTTGATGCGTTGGCCCATCTCGATGGTCCAGTTCCACCCTCCTCGCGTTTTCCGTCTTGATATCCCGCGTCGAACGACTTACGGGTGCCCATTGGCGCCTCAAAGACCAGGACAATCGTACTACCTAGTTGAAATCCTCCCATCTCCTCTCCCCTCTGGAGCGGATGGCCTCTGAGAGTCCTGCTGGCGTGAAGGTAGGTTGCCTCAACGAAACCGGGATACTGCTCGCCTCGCTTAGCAGCGAGAGCCGCCGCCATATCTGCGGCAGTGTCTGTGGTGAGGCTGTTTGTGCGCAGCTCGGAGTCGAAGTTCACCTTGATAGAGCCCACATTGGTAGCACCAACGGGGGTATAACTGAAGAAACCCCAGCGCCAACGTCCCAGAAGGACAACCCGCTCGTTGAGAGTGAAGAGACCGGGAAGGTGACGCTGTAGGTATGGCGAGACAGAATACAGTTCACCTGCGAAGTGTCGACGCTCTCGACCACCCAGGGCACGGGGGAATGGAAACGGTGGTAATCGCCAGGTGCGAGGTAGATCACAACGTAGTAAAGTGCATTATTCGACTTGGGCTTCGGCGCATACCATGGAGCACCGTCACCGCGAGCCAGATCAGCCTTGACTTCGGCTTCTGCAGCAGCCTCTGATCCTGTTGAAGCGTCCAATGACGCCGAGCGCTTCCTTGCACCACCTTGGTCACCGGCGAAGAGAGTTGGTAGCGTGTAGGGAATGCCATTCATTCTGGCAAATTCCTCATCGGCTGCCATATCAGCTGCATCTTTCTGCGAAGGTTCTGTTGAGTGATCCGTGAACTTCTTGGAGTGGTCAGCATGTGAAGGCGTAGCTGCCCCCAAAAGTGCATCCAAGCTGTATGTAACCCCCTTGACCTGTTCTACCTCACCACGTTCGATCAGACCGAATTGAAGGATGCGGCCATCCGAAGGCGAGATAACCGCATGGGTGTCGGGGTCTAAGGGTCGGGCACCAGGCTTCAACCTGCGATAGAAGAAGGCCGCCAGGTTCGGGTAGGTGCGGAGATCCGGTTGTTCTACTTCATCCAAGTTGACACCAAAAACCCATGAATAGAGTTTAAATCCAGGAGCGCGAAGGAAAAGTGGAAGCTCCAGCTCATTAAAGCGGCCCCATAGCCGGGAGATTGCTTTTAGTGGCAGGGTCGACATGATCTGAACCTGCCATGGCCCACTTGGCCTGATCCTATGTCGTGGAGGGGGGTTTGTAATCTCATCTTCCGCTTCCCTTTCTCGGCGTTCCTGTTCGGCTCTTTGCGACTTGTAAAAATGGAGGATACCCAGGAGACCAATGCCGAGTCCTATTGGGATCGGATACCATTCCACCTTCGTGTTTCGGAGCGCAAACCGAAGTCGGGATCCGAAGCCCTTCGGCGCTGGGTTCTCCTGGTTGTTTTGGTTTTGATATTGTTTCCATGATTTCGAAAATTGTCTAGCACCGGCTTTACGTCCAGCAGACGTCCTCAAGGCCACCATCTTCACCAATCCAGCATTCTCCCCGAGACGGGAGTCTCCAAAGTTCCGGCGAAGCACAGAACGGCTGGTAAGGTACAGTGTCATAATGCTGCTTAATCCATAATTAACGCCCCTGGTAGGGAGTAGTAGCCGCCAGCACGAAACACTGAAGTTCCTAGACGTCAGTGAGCAACAGAAGGAGGCCGAGGTCTTTCCCCCTCAAATCTCGTGCTTTTGCATCATGCTGCAGATCGTTTTCACCGCCCGGCAGAATGGGCCGTCTTAGAAACCGTTTCAACGGTATCGTGCTTCGGTGCTTTCTCCTCCACTTCTGCAGCGCAGAGACATGTTCTGAATCTGTTCTCTTATATTTTTTTTTTGATTTCAGCGTGATTGTTATTACCAGGACAACCTATATGTGCCTGTCATCCATGGTGGAGGCCCTATAATTACGTGCTGACCCCTGCCCGCCGGCGGAAAAGGCCACCATTGTGACTCGGGCCACCTTTATATGCACCTTATCAGGGGACTATACCACGTCGACAGTCAACTAGCCCCGTTGTCAATTTCCCCTCTTCCGCATGACTTCCTCTTGAATAATACCTCACCTTCTAGATTTGTCTAATACCAATTTAAATCTTCGGGGATTCTCGAGCCCGACCTTGCGCTTGTAAGCGCGTGAGCAATTACTTCATGTTATGGTTTCATCTACATTGTGACCAAGATGACGTCCAGTTCTGCCCCATCAGACAACTCAATGTCGAATTCAAACGTGACCGGTGGAACACAAGGGTTTATTCTGCATGTGCTGTGCCCGTCGCTTCCTCCTCCTAATCGCTTTACATTCAATGATCTGGCACCTTCCATTACTATCGCTGGCCTGAAGGCGCGAATATCCCAATCGATTCCCAATAGGCCATCCTCGGAGACTCAAAGATTAATATACCGTGGAAAGCCCATCTCAAATGATGACTGGACTTTGCAAAAGGTGTTGGAGCCTGTAAATGTGAGTGTCGCGATGACCCTTTGTTTTGGTTGGCATGTCCGGGAGTAGTTGTTTAACTAGATCTGTCTATTAGGGCGCTGAATACTCCATGCATCTTGTTCTTCCACCAGCTCCTCTACCACATCATGTGGCGACTTCCCCCAGACCTTCGCCATCACCACAGTACCAAGCACCCGCCGGCATGCCAGACCATCTTTTTGCGCCCAGCCGATCTGCTCCGCCATACCCAATGCAACATGGACAAGAGGTGAGATACCGAGGATCCATGGGTCCTAGTGAAGCCGATATTGGGCTAGCTCTGCGACGTAATATCGAAAACATTCGCCGCCAAATCGAACTGCGGGAGCGAGGGGGCTCGCCCTTACCAGATCAGCAAGGAACCGAACATACCCAACAATTTCCTTGGCAGCGTATGACACCATTACAATCTTCAACGACCACGTCAACGTCAACGTCAACAATGTCGTCCCATCCATCAGACCTGAGTGCTAGTTTATCTCAGGATACTACACTCCGTCTGCACATACTACGACCGCAAATTGCGTTATGCGAAGACCAACTCAATCGAGGCATCGCGCCTCCTATGGACCAAGTGATTCGCATTCGGTCACAATTATTCGATATTCTTGATGATCAGTATAGAAATCCTTTATCTCAACGCGACGGCTCTATAGAAGCCTTGCTCACTCGGGTCTTCAACATCTACACCCGCGCAGATCAGCTCCGCGTAAGCCAGTCTAGGGTCACTGCATCCATGCAGCACAACACACTTGATAGTTCTGGGAGTAGTGGTCATGAACAGGCCCCCCTATATCTTCTTTCATCGCCAAATGGATACCAGGCTTTAGTTACCTCTCCTGGTGCAGCGAGGTCAGTTGAATCCTCGCTAAGCGCATTTCGCGCGACGCATACGTCACAGGCAATACCTACCCACGCCACAGGCCACCCACCCCAAGCGCATCCCAACCCGAACGCTGCTATGATGGAGAATGCCGTCCGTCAAGCAGTCCTTAATCAAAGACTGGGCAATAACGAGCCAGTAGGGCTCGCCCGGAGCATACGACGCATTTGGTTGTTCGTTCGACTGTACTTCTTTTGCTATATGTTCAGCGAGCCCGGCACTTGGTCGCGGGTCCTGTTGGTGACCTTGGCTGTCATTATATCTCTCCTGTCGGAAACCAGTGTCCCGCGCCAATTGTACGGGATGATTGTTTCTCCAATTCAACGACACCTTGAAGGACTGATACACTTTTCCACCGATGAACACGTGCCACCGCGTCCTCAGGGCACAGATGCCACGGGTAGCTCGGGAAATGCACATCAGCCTGGAGATAACCGAGCTGCCACCCCAGCAGGAATACGCCATAGCCTTCGAAGAGTAGAGCGGTCTTTAGCACTATTTATCGCCAGTCTAGTACCGGGAGTTGGGGAGAGGCATGTCGAGGTGCGCAATGCAGCCGAGGCCGCTCGAAATGCAGAGCGCGCACGAGAAGAAGAAGAGGAGCGCCGTAGACAGGAAGAGGCGAGCAACGGCGAGCGGGTGACTGAGCAGGAGCAGCAGGATCATGAAGAAACCTCAACTTCCCGTCCAGAGTCGTCTGTAACCAACCCCGCCAGTGAAAACGGACTTCATGCGTCAATACCCCGTGGAGATGAACAAGATGCAAGGTAATCACCCCCATCGCTTCATCTATCTATTCCCATTATCTGTTGCGTTAGTGTTGTACATAGCTGGCGTTAAAGTAGCGTTGGAATTAGCGTAGATCCTTACGGGCGGATTTAAAACATGGTGATATGAATCTTCTTGCGATTAGACACGCTCGAGAATCTATGTTCTGGTATATAGTCTATTATGCGTATTTATTAGTCCCTTTTAAATGGGCCTACAACATGCACAGAACAGATAGGTCACTAATCATGGATTAAGGTCGGGATCACAGTTTCGTGCCTGGCCTCTCCGTGGACGTATCTTGACTCGACGTAGGCAAAGCTGAAGAAGGGGCCATAGGACCGGTATCAAATGACTCTTCCCCGTTGAAGTGCCTGTAATGGGAAATAGTGTTAGTATTGCCAATCAAACCCCGGAGGAAAAAACTTACCACCCCCTCTCAGCGCCTCCGCTCAAAAAGCTACAGTCCCCATTTAAAACACAGTCCCATCCCCCACTGACACCCTTCCCACCTTGCCAAACGGGCACAGCCGTCCCAGGTCGAATAACTCTCGTTCCTGACGCCAGCTCCCGTTGCTCTGCGCTACTATCGCCAGCGGGCGTCGTCCCCCTCCGAACAAACGTACTTAGACCCGCCGTAAACACATTAAAGTCCTCTTCATCAGCGTCCTCCGGCATGTTTCCTGTCAAAACCCGCCCCATAGCAATCAACGGAGCTGCATGCGCACAAATCAGTATCGCCTTACTGGTGCGTTCCGACGGCGGCAGGGATGCCTCCAAGGCATTGATTTCTGCATCAACATCCGCAATGATCCCCGCCAATGCTGTAGCTACCCTGTCGTGAAGCTGGGCAATTGTCTCGCCGCGGGTAGAAGGCAAGAGATGTGGGTTATAGTTGGCTTCAGGGTCCGAGGCAAGGAGTGTTGGGAAATGGGTCTTGAGAGTAGCAGGAGATACAGGGGAAGGATGATCAAAGAAAGAGGTTGGACCGAACCACTCTCTATCAGCATACATTAGCTTGACCAGCACTGAGGAGGCTAACAGCAGTAAGATCAATTACCCGACTCCGTTTTCGATCCTCACATCCAGGTCCGCATTCCGGTCTATACCTGTTTCGCTAGAGGGGGCGGAATTATATCTCTCTTTCAGGGCCTCGACAGATGGTTGAATCGTCTGCAGACACCGATAGAACGGGCTCGAGTATATCCGGAAGGGTTTCGGCGAGAACTCGGGGCTGACGAGGTGCTCTGCCAGCTCGAGCGATTGGCGCACACCGTGCGAAGTTAGGGTTGGGTCTGCGGGGTTGCCGGTCGGGGTTGGGAATTGAGACTTGTATTCGCCTGTCTTATAGTCGATTGTCCAGTTTAGACGATGCTGTTGTTTGGTCTTTCTTAGTTCCTTGTGTTGTTTGGTGGGGGCGGGGTAGAGATGGAGGTATACCTACGCCATGTCGGGTTAGATATATGGTGTCCAGGGGCATTGTGAAATGGTGTATGATCAATGCTGCCGGTGCAATATCTTTGAGGAAATCTCTCGAATGAGCCTAGTATATGGTAGAAATGTACAAGAAGATGAGGGTTGCGGGGAAGAGATAAAGAGGCAGAGAATGCGGAGACAAAATACCTCGGCTTAGATCTATCAAACGACACTAGCACGGATAGGGAATAGAGTCAACAAGTGACCCTGGCCAATATTCATTCCAAGCGGCTGATCTCCTATCGATAAGGATTTCGTGCCCTAACAACCCAGGACTTTAGCATGGACGCTGCGTAAATTCATTCTACCATTTCTTTTATACAAGGAATACACAATTCAGTCGTAAATTAAGGAGGTAAATACAAAGGGGTATTATTGGCTTCCATGCAAATGATGTTCTCAAGCCACTTGAAAATGCCCAATAAATTCGCAGTCATGGATCTAACAGTCTGCAGCATCACGAAAAACCCCCCACCGTTATGCATTTAATCTTCTTCAATGTTGCACGAGCCAAGCCCCATGTCCTCCCCAAGGTCTTGAGAACGCCCATAATGAACTTTACTTGATTCCCAACCCTTGTCATGACTACCCGGGTGACGTGCGGCACAGGCAGAAAGCTGCACGAGGATACTGAATACAATACAGCAGATAAAGAAAGGAGAATGCTTCCTGACACTGGGTGGATAAGAGGCAAGACTGTCAAGGCTTTTTGGATGTCGAGATGGCCTTTAGGGCGTGCGTCTGTTGGCTTGGAATTGGCAGAAGGAATTTCTCTCAGATCACTAGATACAGGGTTACTAGGGTATATCAAAGTTACCTCCTTCGATGCATCATGGTTGTAAGTGAAAGTTCCCTTGTGAGATACGGATGGTTTCAAATAAACAGAAGATGATGCGATGGCCCAGCCGACAAGGCTGTCCGTTTCGATCTGAAGACGCTGATATTTTATTGCTTTTCATCTATGAATATACTGGTGGTCCGGAGGCCCGGGGCCATGCTATTCAAAGGGTCTGTGATAGGGTGTAGATTTCACGGTAGCGATGCTGTAGCTATTTGGAGTAGGAGACCAAGGCTTTGCGAGCAGATATGCACCGTCAATATGACTTGTAGTCTTAGCGTCTCCGAAGGTGCTTCGAATGTTTATAGCAATACTGGAAGCGGTATACAGAAGGTGTTAGCCGTGAAGTTGTTACATAAGTTACACCATGCCCAATAGGACAGCCACATGGGTGTAGTCAATAGGCATAAGTCCATATCTTTTTGGTTTTGCTCGACCATGAATAGTCTTGAATCCGGAACCGGCCTTACTTTTGGACGTTATTCTGAGATACAAGCACTATCACTATACTCTACCTTCTATATGTTGGCGAATGGCCCCATGATAACAATTCATACACACATCCTAACCTTCAGTTTGTCCCCCCTCACAATCTCCTCTTCCTTCTGCAGAAGCTCCTCCACATCCCAATTTACTAAGATATACCGGGCAGCTAACCACTCCCGTCTTTTCTCAGTAAGAAATACCAAAGTATCTGCGCACAGCTCTGGCGTTTCTGTCAATGCCTTATGTATCTGTTCAGGAAGCCGCTTTCCCATGTCCGTTGGCACCCCACCAGGGTGCACAGCAAAAGTCAGAATACCGTCCGGTCCATGATCCACGTCCAAAAATTCTGTAAAACGAAGAACGGCGAGCTTGCTGCTCTGGTAAGCCGAAGCACCAGGCGATGTTAAATGTGCCGCAATGCTGCCCAAGTTTACAACGGTCTTGTCTCCGCCTTTGCCCAGCATCTGCGGAAGAAATGCCCAGGTGACTAAGTATGGCCCAAGTACATTGACTGACCATGTTTTCTGCCATTCGGATGGGTCACTTTCGGCGATCTTGGCGCGTTTTTCAAGGTACCCGGCGTTGTTAACAAGAATGTCCAGACGGGGGAACGAGGAGGCAATCGAGGCGGCCGCTGCTGATGCGCTCTCTGCATCGGTCACATCTAGTGTAACAGGTACTACCTGGGGAGCTGGTTTTCCTGCTTCCTCTGCGGCCTGAGTGAGAAGTGGTACAAGCGATGAGAGATCTGTACGAGCGCCGATTCCGATCCCAGCACAGCCGGCTTTTGCATATGATAACGCAGTCGCCCGCCCAATGCCTTTGGATGCGCCTGTTATGAAGACATAATTTCCACTTAGGTCATATTTACGCGGATCAATAGCTGGCTAGGTGTCGGTGTGACGGGTCGGGGTGAAGTAGACCCCTGAGCTTGATGTCAGCATTGCGCTTATAGGGCTTCAGATTCGAGGTCAAGGGGAACCTCAATGTTACCTGTATGCAATCCGTCACTCATCGTGCACGATTTGTATACTGAAAAAGAAATACAAGACTGACACGATACCGCTGTTTAGGCCGAGGGAAGCGGAGCGAGAGGCGAAGAGTGGGGTGGAAGTCGTTATAAAGGCGACTAGTCGCAAGTTGTAAGTGCCCACGAGATTATTAATTCTATCGACAGTCCACCTTTAGTTGTTTCCCACATTATTTGGGCTGAATAGGATCAACAGTTAGCTCCGACCGTTTCTCCGAGACGGTACTCATGGATAACATCATTGCCGAGTCCCCAATCTCTAGGACTACGCCTATGCCCGGCAGTCCCCACAAGGACCACACGTTTGCATTTTCAGAACAATCGGCGATGCCATGCACAGCCCGATGGCGCTTTGCACTTGGTTTCAAAGAACGTCATCTGGGAAGGTCATCTGGGAAAACCGTCCGAACGAAATGTTCTACATCATTCCATAGCTCCTCTGGATTCTCCATGGCAGCAAAATGACCACCTTGAACGTGAGAATGGTACCATACCAAGTCACCCAGCGTCGCTGCCCACTTCCTGGGAAGGCCGTTAATATCAAACGGGAAACGGCTATAGCCTAATGGCTTTGGAACAAAAGGGATCACGTTGTCGGGCACGTCCAGGCTGGATAGTTGGTAATAATCACTTGTCGTCATCCCCGTCAGGTAGTAGACCGAAGCGTGTACTAAGGCTGTTTGCATGGGTAAAGGGTGTTGGGGATCTACCCAATTGTTGAACTTGTCACTGAGCCTAACACTTTATCAGTAATTCAGCGTTGTCAACACTGGGCCACTAGCCATCTCTCACCAGGCTAACAATGACAATAAGTCTTTCTCCGGAGCAACTCCTAAAGTGACCTGCCTTCCATGATCTGTGATATCCCTCTTTTGGAGAGACTTGAAATGTGAAGTTCGGTTAAGAATCTCCAGGTCTTGCTCACTAAGGTCTGTATCGTTACTTGGGTCGGGTAACCCGGAGATAAGAGGGAGAGAGTTGACTAAAGACAGTTATTTTTTGCTGCCGAAGAATAAGCACTTGTTAAGAGAGACGAGTGAGCTTTACCATGTACAGCTGGATTACAGTTAGTAATATTTCCAAGTGCCAGCACAGATTATAATGAAAGTGGCGTACCTTCACAACTGGGGCTATATGACCCGAGTAACCTAGCGATATAGGCCCCCAAGCCGCCACCTTGGGCAATGTAACCATTATCCAGACCAATGCCAGTGAGCAAAGCGTCAATGGTCCTAGCTACGATGACCATATCCGCGTGTCTACGCATGGGGGAACCGGCAGAGTAGGCATATCCGGGCAGAGATGGTACAATGAGATGGAACGGGCAATCTTCCGGGGAATACTTCTGACGCACGAGATCGAGAAGATCGGTAAAATCAAGGAAACTCCCAGGCCATCCATGTAAGAAGACGATGGGAATAGCGTCCGGTTGCTGCGAAAACAACGCCATGAAATGGACGTTGGAAGTATGGCCGTCCACTGTCACGGAAGTATTGAACTGAGGGTGATGGTTGACCTCATTCTCTAGATATGGCCCATTAATCTCGGACCAGCTCTCGGACGCAAGCGCGATCCAATGCCGCTGCTCGTTGTCGTAACCGTCTAGGTCGCTAGTTCGGGGATGTCTCATACTTTCATGCATTTGATATACTTTATTCTGCGAGAACTCGAAGTGTATGCGCTCGACTGGGATTGACGCCTTCAATGGAAGGTTAGACCACGCGTCTGCTGCTGCATTATGGCGAGACTGCTCTATGGGTAGAGGCATAGAGGCGGACACAACAGCAAAAGAAGCCAGGCTTACAAGCGCCTTGAGGGGCAAGAAATACATAGTAAAGGTGACACTAGAGTCAAATGGGAGGACTTTGATAGATGTCAATGACACTCAACCCATTGCAAGTGGTAAAGAAAAGGAGTAATGTCTTTGGCGATTTTTAGTCGCGTCTTTTTTTCTTCTTGGTTCCTCCGTTCCTTCTTCCATCGATTTCTTCTCTTGACAGGGCTGACAGGGCGATCGAACACTTGAAACCAAGAGCGGAACGGAACCATGGGCACGTTGATCCATTTCAACGGAGATTCGACTACTTCCGAGCTAATGAGGAAGCCATTTGCGGATTGTAATCTGGAGCACTTTTAGCGTGGAACCTGTGCCTCATTCTTTCACGCACGGCCATGGAGAGACTGAAATGATTCGATCATAAGTGCCATAGCAGCGCGCTAACGGATGTTTCGGAATGTTGGCAATCCCCCCCAAGTCTTCAAGGTTTACTACTCGTACTACTAGTAGTACAGTACTCGGGTTCGGGGACTGCGGGCTTCCGCTTTCATAACATACTAACCTGTGCGTCCGGCTTCCGAACCCTATTAATCAGTCTCATCCCATAAGAGGAATAGCGGTGTGTCAAAAATCAATAAGGGCGCCGAGTATTCTTTAACAAAGGGTGGAGACGTAACGGTGGTACTTGCCTGATGCCAAGGCGCTGGGAAAAACTGAAAATCCTGTGTATCCAAACGAAGGACAGGTTTCTCATGTGCACAAGGGAGACATCGGTTGTGTGTATTCTACTTCTCTACAATAAGACACGGAACATAGATGATAAATTTGACCGGAACAAAATGACTTGGTTGAATTGAGCAAGATCACTCAAACCTATCTATGGCGTTTCTGCCAGGGTATCCTTGACTCCTCGCCAAGACACTGTTGCTCCTGAGCACATTCCTCGCTCGGACCTCACCAGGCCACATAAATCCCGATACTATTCAAGACATAAACTTTTTGTTGATCGTCTAGTAGAAGAAACCGAGGAGCTTGCCAGCAACATGCTTGCGACGAGCCTCCTCGTGGTCCATGATACCAGCGGAGGTGGTCAGGACGACGTAACCGAACTGACGAGAGGGAAGGAGCTGGGTGGCCCACTTCTCGAGGTCACGGAGCTGGACGGGGTAGCGGGGGTTGATGACACCACACTTGTTGAGACGACCGTTGAGCTGGATAACGATCTTGCCGGAACGGTGGTCATCGACCTCCTCGAACTCGCCAATGTAGCCTAACAAAGATAGAGTCAGCAATGTTACGAAGATTTAAAAGTTCACCAAACACAGGAAAACATCAGGAAACTTGTAAGATCTCCGCCTTGTCAAAAAAAACAATTCTCAATATATCGGGTACTTAAAGGGCGGACGTCGTTTAAAGATCGAGATCGCCGCCTAGTTATCAACCGAAGAGGGGGGGGAAACAAAGACATGTTGCAATATACATGGAACAAAAGCAAGCAATTGAACGGAAGGCGACAATGGTAGGAAAGATAATTGTGCATACCGTGCTTCTGCATGACGCTAAGGAACTTGACGATGACCTTGGAGGAAGGACGGACGAGGACCTGGCGCTTGCCAGCCTTCTCGGCGTTGTTGATAGCGTTAAGCGTATCGTTGAGGACGGAAGTCTTGACCATTTTGGCGGTTGATTTTCGAGATTCTCAAATCGAGAGACGGGATAAGAGGTATCTAAATTTCAAAAAGAGAATCATGTCAGCCACCAGTAGTCTTCGAGCGTAAAGAGTGCCCCTTTAAGAATTTTTCATCAAGGGTTCTTCAGCCCGTGCCGTGAAATGAGAGAAGCGTATCACCCGGACCCTCTGGTAAAAACTTTTCAATTTGCCTGCGGTGGCTACTCCACAAGCATTGAAAAGCCCAGAGTTCCATAGTGATTGCTCTCTCAGACTAGCTGAGAGGCCGCGAGAAGGGATTCAATAACGAGTAATACATACCTCGAGGGTAGTACCGGTGAGGCTGGTGAGAACGGGGATGTGGTTAAGAAAAGTTCTCTTAGGAGCTGAACCAGGAGGTTTTCGGGATGTGCGCGGGTAGGGTTGTGTAAATCTTGCCCTGATCAGGTCACGTGCACTTTACAATAAACTGCCTCAGGCACGATGATGGAGCATGGTTGTGCCTATCACGTACACGCCGATGAAAGGATTCAAGGGTCTGTACAGCATATGTTAACAGCCCCGTAGATGTGAAGTGAAGTCACACAAATTCATCTAGCTATTATTCTGTAGTGCTATGCCAATGTGATTGATCACTATCTAGCTCCTACATTAGGTCTATCCTAGCTACTTCCTGCACGAGCACTGTAAATTCAAATACCATAGAATAAAAGCTGTATAACCAAACCCCAGTATTAAAATATTCTATCAGCTTGTTTAGGTATCGACTTACCATCCCAATAGATGTATATATTCATATCCACCTCCATGACCCTAGCAGATCACTGTCGTCAGCACGCGTTATCGATATGCCTCAGAGTTGGCACGAACCCGCTCCACTGCGGTTCGATCACCTTGTGACCTTGATAGTTTGACAGGTACTATAGTTTAAGGACTAGCTTCTACTTCCCCCCTTGACCAGTTGTCATGGCATGCAAACACAAATCAACGCCACGGATTACATTGCATACGTTACCCGAACATCTGTGGGCATATACCACAGCTAACTCTCCACAGCCAGGTCAGGTTCTGCTACTGAGCATTTCGCACACACTTATTCAGGTTGTATCATTGGCTCTATACAGGATCTTTGGGTGGGTAAATCAGAATATACGGGAGGGAAGTGTGAAATATTCGTTGCAGTGTTTCTCTTAAGGGGTTACATGACTTCTTGGGCATACATGAGGTTCAAGATAATGCTATAGGGGTCTTTGTCTAATTGAAGTGAGTTGGAACGGAGAATGGAAGGGAGGAAATCAATAGTAATAGTAGGATGAAGGTGATTAAAAAAACAAGATGCCAGCAACGACGAAACAGGATGCATTCGGGCGTCATGAGGGGGCTAGTGGTTCCGAAAAGTGGGAAATAGGGAGTGCCCAACAGGGAGCTGAAGGGCTGGGGAAGATGGGAAGGGGTGATGGGATAGGGAAGTTTGAAGAACGGACAAGGTAGTTGTGCTGAGATCAAAGGGGGATCGCCAGTATCAGCTCGTTCAACCGTACACATGATACAGGGATACTTCGTCTGGCAAGTTAGAATTCGATCAAGGGCACGGCGTTTCGGCATCCCTCGTGAAACCGAATTCACTTTATGGAATGGAAGCAAGTGGTCCACGGCGTAACTTCTCTGAGTGCGCCTAAAGGGGCGTCTTGCTCCGAGGAGGGTGGTCTCGACAAGAGCAATTGATGGCTTTGCGAGTGCTAGCGACCATGCTTACGCCATAGCTGCGGCAGTAGACAGGGTGACCTGACGCTTGACTTGTTCGCGAGCCCAGCGAGCAGTCTCAATTGTGGTCGGGCCAAAGTCTCTGTTGTTCCTGGTGTCTCTGACCAAGTCCGTAACCCAGGAGTTGCGGAAGAAGGCCGCGAACTCTCCATTCGGGAACGCCTCCGCAATGTCGCTGTTTCGTGGTTAGACATAGATACATGCGTGAGAAGGTTGAATATAGCAAACGTACCCAAGAATACCCATTGAGGCCCTCATCAGTCCCTCACTCCGGTTGAGGTCCTGGGAAATCAGGTGGAGAAGCTGGAAAATAGATTCAACAAAAGGCTGGAGCTGAGTCACTGCAGAGGGCTTAGCACACGACACAAGAACTGTATTACACACTTTCTTACCTTGAGGCTTGCCCTTATAAGACAAAACAATACCACCCCAGGCATCCATAATTCCTTCACGAAGCGAGACGATGTAGTCGAGCATCTCGATATTAACGTCTGAGCTGGCGGTTACAATCGATGCCTGCTGGAGGACCTGGGCGACGACAGAGAGGTATGTGTCGAAGTGTATTCCGATAGCCTGAGCAATGTCTCCGAACGTCTCGAGGATTGCAGGCTTTAGTTGATTTGTGGAGCTCTGCAAAAAGGATTTAGCAAGGGACAGTTCGTTGTTTACTATTAGGGATGGAGCTATCTTACCCGCAGGTTATTGAGCAAGTAGTTCATGAACGAGTCGCAGAATGGCTGAACCTTTTCATTCAAGGCACGAGAGATATCGCTGACCAGTCCAATCGCCATAGCACAGAGACCCGGTTCCTCTTGATTGCCGAGGGCGTTATAAAGGAATGGCGAGAAGGGTTCCATATACTTGACGAAGTCCTCCTCCAGTGCACTTGCAATAGCACCGACCGTGGCGAAGACGACATCAGGCACACTGGACTTGGGAGGGACAGTTGTTAGAACCTGGATCATCGCGTGCATGATACGGTCCGCTTGAGGCTTAATCTCAGTTTCGAGACGTTGAACAATGGCCTAAATTGTCAGTCAAAGCACACACGAAAGCGCTCGTGGACTTGAGGAACTCACCAATATAACGCTGGTTAAGCTGGTTTGCACCTCTTCCAAGGTGATCCGATCTTCCACACTAACAACTTGCTGTTGCATAGGAATGGTATGTTCCAGACGCTGAATCACAACGTCGGAGAGACTCGCTACCATGGGGAGGCTATCGTTCGCCGCATTGGTAACGAAGGAGTTCAGGACTTCATATCCCGCAGTCCGGAGCTGGTTGTCTGCATCTTGCCTATAAAAGCCGTTAGTAAGCCAGGTCCAGGTTGATCACCCTTTGAACTAAATCGGACATACCTTTCAGTGAGAGTAAGAAGCGACTTGACACTCTCTTCAAAGTGTTTTGACAAGGGGTTCGTCTGCGCACCGACGTCACCGGCAAATCGATCGGCAACGTTCATCAGAGCCCAGCAGCAGGAGCTGGCAATCTTAGGGGTGCTAGCAAGCCCGTTGAACAGGCAAGAAATAAGGGGTTGTAAATGCACGTCAGGGTCCAGGGTCTCAGAGCAGAAGTCGCACACGCGACCAAGGGCATAGGCTGCCGAATCACGAACTTGGATGGAACTATCTTCCATCATACCAACAAGAACACCCAAGGCCTGCTTGACCAGGGGTTCAAGAACCTTGGGATCCGGTCCATCCATGATGGCGCCGAATGCCGCAACTGCAGCGTCTCTGTGACGCCAATCTTCATTGCGAATGTTTTCCTCGACAAAGGAGAGGACAGGCTGGATGACCTCGCCCTGGACACAAGAAGCATAGAGTTGCAAAGCCTGATAAGCCGCGCGAGAAACATTGTACTCATCATCCGTCGCATCCTCATCCTGTCTGCACATAGCCTGCAGCAAAACAGGGACAACCTCTCTGCACGCCACTCGGGCGAAGCCAAAGAAAGGACGGACCTCAGAACCCTCCGCTTGCGCCTGTTCCGATTAGTTAGCAACCTTCCCTTTCAGAAGTGTGTGTGGAAAACTTGACGAACCGCAGCGTTGTCATCCTCAATGGCAATTTCCTCTTCGCAGACGGAGCACCAAAATTCAATAGCTAGCTTGGCAACATCTTCCTCTTCGCTCTTCATACCCATGATGCTGAGGCCAAACAAAGCCTTCTCCATGTAAAAGCGCATTTTCTCGTAATAAGCAGCCATGATACGGTTCAAGCAACCAAATGCGCCCGCCTGAACACGGAGATCATCGGCCTGCGTAGCCTCACAGACTACTTGCATGATATAATTACGTTCACCTTCATTGTCCATGTTCGATCGAACGAAGTCTACTGAGTCACTGAGAGCCTTGATAGCAGCATAGCGGATATCCATGTTGGTTTCTTCACGTCGGGCGCCCTGTACAACAGCGGTCAAGATCGCATTAGAGTGAGCAATTAAGCTCTCCCGAAGATCAGCATCCTGGGATTCACAGATGAAACCGATTGTGATGAGGGAGGCCTGCTTCAACTGGTTGGAGCCCGTTGCGACATTCTGAACCAAAACGTTCATCAGCTCGGGCCATTCATTTCGAGGTAGCTCGATGGCGGCAATGGAGACGATGAACTGGGCTGCAGACTGGCCGGCCCGGGTGTCTTTAGAATCCAGAGTCTTGAGTGCAAGCTCCTTGACCTGTGTCTTAATCTCTGGGCTGATCTGTTGCTGCCATTTTCCTTGCACCTCGCGTAGCTTAGCAGGATCTCTGAAAGTGAAAGCATTCTTCAGTGCGAGACCCGCAGCGGTTCTGATGTGGGAGGGGGTGTTTTCATTCGCCAGTTCTTGACCAAGGGTAACAAGGTATCCGGCCTACATGGAGAAAACGCCACGGTTAGCATGATGTACGACGATCAACGAGCGATCGCTCGAAGCGACGCCAAATGAGGCACCCGGGAGACATACGAAGTCGACCTCCGCCGCGTGGACAAGCTGCTGTTCCGCATTTGTACGTGTTGTCGCATCTATCAATCAAAGCAAAAATCACCCGTCAGCAGCGTTCTTGATCGCTCCAAGCAGCATTCTAATATAAAGGATAGAGAGATAGTCTTACCTGGCGACAGAGTGCCCTCCAATACCTGAGTGACATTCATGTTGTCGGAAGTGGGACACTGACCACGGGAACGAAAAGAAAAAGAAAATGCAAGAAATAAAACAAATGAAGCTCCTCGGGCCTAATTAAATTTTGGTAGACAAAAAGTTAATTATGAAATTGCCCACGACAAAGGAGTGGCAGCGTGGACGAGGAGACTGAAAGAGATCCTGGTGTTTTTGTGGATATATGACGAGGCATGCACCAGTTCTTTCCGGCAAGTAGGACAAGAGGGAGGAAAAGACGGCTTGTGGTGCACGCCGAAGAGCCAGGAGAGTAAGAGGGAAAAAAAAACCGCACTCCAAGGTCTATGTTTCAGAGAGGCAGGAGGAGAGAGCGGTGATTATCTGATTCCGAAAATCCTTTTTTAAGTTCTGATAGAAAACGTTTAAATCAAAAGAGAGAAAGAGAAGGGGAGAGAGAAAGCGAGAGCGAGGGAGAATAATAGTGTGTCCCTTCAACTTTTGATCCGCAATGAGGAATGAGAGCGACGATGGGCAGAAAACAACCAGTCAGCGCTCGGCGGAGCCCCCAAACCTCGCCTGATGATTGGACCGCGGCCACTGGTTTAGTCATATCACGTGATCCCTTCACCAGGCTTGAAAGAGCACCGTCAATCCCCGAATGAAAATCAAGAGGAACAGCCCTATCAGCATAGAATCGTCGACTAAACCTTTTCATCATCCTACGGATTCTATCTATTAGAATATTTCTCTTCGTACAAGTTTTCCCCTCCTCTTGTAGCTGTAAGGGGGTTTGCGGAGGGTTGTGGTGTGGTGGTAATGCATATCCTTTTCTTTTACTTTGGAAGACCGACCACATACTTTCGTCACCATCCATTGTTGCCTGAGGTATTGCCCCTCCCTTGTTTTTCTTCTGGTTCCTTCTTTTCCTTCCCCCAAATTTTTCCCCCTCCATTGATTTTTTGCTTGTTTTGATTTTGCTTCTTGAAGCACTTCCACCCTACCCACTTGTGTGGCCCCGGCGACCACGCCCTTCTTTGATAATAATCAGGGTGTCAACCCCATCGCACAAATCCATTAATATCTATAACCGTAGGAACCAAAAATTAAATAAATAAATAAATAAAGTATATCTCTTAAGACTACCCTGAGTAATAGTCGGAAAAAAAAAAAGGTCTGAGAAGAGCTCATTCAGACATCAAATGCCAGGGATTCAATGTCATCCCCTTAAACAAAAGCCCCGATAGCCAGTCACAACCAATATATCAATAAACAAACGCAATACACAGGCACATCCCTGCCTGGAGCAGCTTTGTCCCTGCCGATGGGTGGAACCTAGAGTTGCTCCTCAACACGCTAATTTGCTGATGAGAGTCAACCTCACCTTGTTAGCCTTGGTTTCTTTCCATCAGGAACAACCACATAACGACAAAGCATTGTTATTATCCCCGGCCACTATTCGCTGTCCTCTTCTGGTTCTTCTTCGTCTTCCTCCTCTTCGTCTTCTATCTCCGCGTCTAAATCCAATACCTCATAACGCAGACCGTCGCCATACAAGACACAGATCGCTCGACGGTCGTGTCGGCCGTTGACATATATCCTCGTAGGTTTGAGTTTGGGCCCAGGTGTGGTAAAGGCATGTTTAATCCACTGCGTAGATTCGGATTCAGGGGCCAAGACATCAAGTGTCACAGGGGGTGCAGCGGGCGTAGATGATGTCGTGCCACTGTCATACTCCTCAAAGCTGACAAAACAAGGACTTTCAAAACCCCCAGGGGTCTCGCTTGTAGGTGCTGGCTGAAAGGGGAAGTTGAGAAGGTAAGAGGATCCTTCTACAAATCATCGTTAACACATGTACCCTTCACAAATTATATACCAAAGCGTAATATACCGTTATTAGACCAGAGTACCATCATAGTATCATCCTCCACAAACTGTATTTGACGTATTTCCCCCTCCTGTAAATTGATAGCACCTATACCTGTCGTTCGTGTGGAACTGACCCCATTTTCGCAGTCCAGAACCGTGCGGTATATATACACTGGACGTCGTGGGTAAGAAGTTGGAAAGCATAGGCATAGACAAATGGGGCTATACGTACGTATATGTTTCGACCGGATGGATCTAGTAGCCACATATATCACACACAATCTTTGTTCTCCGACATCCTAGGATCATTATGAGCACTATTTCTCGCGTACGTCGATCAAGGGCGTGGTACCTCGTAGCGCATGACAAGATCAACGATATCTTTGTCACAATCCGGGTGAAGGACAAGTGGAGACCGATGGAGGATTCCTCTACGCTGTGTCAAGGCGATCTGCCCAAAGACCTTTTCGAACTGTAGTCCGAGACGCTTCGTTAGATCATTCATCTTCGGCAGTTCAGCTGGAGCATCAGCGTCGGAGGCTCGGTTACTCTGTTCCAGCAATTTCTTAAACGTGTCATAAAATGACCCATCGTGTTCGGTGGGTGCCCATTTGTCTGAAGTACTGGGGGCAGGCCTGGCGAATCCCATCAGAGGCAGTTGCTGGATGAAATTTCGTAGCTTGCTCTTAGTTAATGCGCCTCTGATGTACTTCAGAGTGTGCGGATATTCAACCATGTCCGTTTTTTCCTGTAGCTCTTCCAGCGTTTGGGACATAGGTTCTGCACTCTGCATTTCGATTTCGTGGCGAAGCCATCGTGAAAATGAGTTGAACTGGCTTAGTTCTTCATTTGCATTGATGAGAATATGGTGAGATAAGAGATGAAGGCAATCTAGAGTCTCGACAACCGCATTCAGATCTGACGTCTCCAGACCTAGGACGCCGCATATTTTGTGGAATTTGGATAGTCCGATAAGGCGACTAAGTAACACTTCACATCGTTCCAGAGCCGGGAGAAGACATTCGTGTGTCAAACGTCGAACATTTTCGTATCCGCTCAATACAGCTTTCTCCCACCTTTTGTGTCCCTAGAATTCACGTCAGTGATTGATGAATGCTGCTTCCAAAAGGGGACACCCTACTCTTTCCCCGACAATATCTACCAAGAATTCTTTCATGGGTTCAAAACAGTCTCCAGTGACCACTAGGTGGTAGGCAGCCGTAACAAAATCACAATGGCACTTTTCCTGCAAATCCTCGTTTATACTGCGCATGTACCTTGCCGGTAGTTCTTGTGCATTTTTCCACTCGAGCTCAACCTGTCTTTGTACCTGGTTGATGTATCTTAGTAGGTTTTGAAGCTGGGTTATCTTATGGGCAAGTAGGGAAAGGTATCTGCCAGATCGCGTAATAAAACGAAGGTCGAGAGTGAGCAAGTGCAAGGAGCCCGGACTATCATCTGGATTGCAGGATGCCAACAAGGCATGGGTTGAGCTCAATGGATGAGAGGCGTGCTGAAGGATCGTGCATGAGCTGGAAGGCCCAACGGAATTCCCCACTTGAAATGAGCCTATTTCGAAGCAATCAAAAATTCGCAAGTGGACGGTGCCATCATCGAAGCCTACCAGCAAGACGTCTGCTGCATCACTGGTATTCTTGCCGGCAGAATGGAAGATAGCATCAATCGATGCTCGAGAACTAAACACGTCGTCACTGGAGTCTGAGTTAGTGGGAGGTGGCTGCACCATTTGGATGGTCGGAGGACCTACTCGCTTCCTGTCGCGGGCAGTGTGCTTAGTTTAGGTAGCGAGCTCTCGATATCTAATAGAGCTAGCTCCCTTGGGAGGTCAACTTTGAGTAAGGCAGCTGCTTTTGATGGATATACATCCGACGACAGCAGGTCCTCGATGGATATTTGCCCGGCAGCCTCTTTCAATTGCTGTTGTGCAACATTGCTATCGGTGAAGTTTACACCCCAGCCCAAACAAGTAACCCTGACAGGTCGGTCGGCATCACTCTGCGCTTCATAAGCAGGGTAATGATGGACGGTTTTACCGCTGTAAGCACTAATAATACGGATGGTATTGTCCGCGCAAGCGACAGCAAGTAGGCGACCTAGTAACTGGTAAGGCTACCTGCCATACAAATAACTATGTTTGCAAGAAACAGCAGTATCTCGAAACTGAAAGCCAAGGACGCACCATTGTTTTTCCACATCAACTTTCGGATTTCGCCCCCGCCGTCGTCTTCATCCAAGTAGGGATCTCCCTTGAACGAACCCCCAAAGACTCTCTGTCCATTCAGTCGAAAAACTCGTAGTTCATCATCCTCTGTAACGAGAGAGATAAGGTCCATTGTAGGACAGTATTTCAGTGTTGTGGCCTTGCATTTTGCAGGTAGTGACTTTTCTGCAACTGGTGTGAGTTGCGGGTCATGCCGCAACGATGGAGGATGAGAATTGTCTTCGGTCATAATTGTGCAATATCCCCTTTAGTTCATTCTTTGCAGGGGAATTTTAACGCGGTCGCTTTACTTCTAGTATGTGCCGCGCCTGACGTTGCCCAAGATGGACAAATGGTTAATGGACGGTGGAGCCGCAGAATAGCGGACCTCTTGGCACGTGGTGTCTGTCGCGCGTCCCCCAAGTGACTAAAAATCTTTAAGCCCTAGTTGCCTGGAAAAATTCAGGGAATAGAGCAGTTCATCCCTTCGAGCAACTTGAAGTAATATAATAACATTGGCTCATAGAAGGAGCTTGTAGTTGATTCTGTGTCTCATATATAGTAATGTTCAGCTCATCATTATATACCGTTCCGTTCCAAAATCTACACCTCTTTTTTAAATATAAATTAACCAAGAATATCTTAACACAACGCATAATTGGGACCTCAGTTCTAACTAGAGGAAAGTTTTCAGCCCTTTCAGTATCTCAGTATCTTCAACACTATCTATGTTTTTCCATGCTATCGGCTCGGCCGAAGATGGGGTATGGAAAAGAAAAACTAGAAAGTCCGGTATGTCTATATTATTTTAAAATTCCACTCTATATCTAGTTAAACCGTATATTACATACTGGCGTCATCTAAGATTGAATCATTGATTTGAGATAACTCAACTCGTCCATCATTTCTTGCATTGCTGCAGACTGCCCTGGCAGCGAGCTAATGCTGAAGCGGCCATTACTGAGCATAGCACCCTTCTCGTTATGTATCGTTTCCGTATCATCTCGGACGTTTCCTGCAAACTGCACAGTAGAGGGTTCGGGGCTTTGGAGAAGCCCAAGTCCTTCTATTCCCCCAAAGAATGCTGCATGGCGCTTGGGATCTCTTTCGACCTCATCAGAATCACTGATACAAAGACCAGAAAAATCCATATCGGAGGGGGATAAAGAGACAGTAAGACGAGGAGGCGGCAGATCGAGGAGAGGTGAGTCACCACTGAGTGTGGTGGGGGAAGATCTTGAATTAACAGTAAGTTGTGGAGTATTTGGATCACTTGTTTCAGCAGGAACAGAGCTCTTCCACAGTTCGGCAAAACTCATCCCTTCAAGAGCAGAAAAAGTTTGGGTACCATTGTTGAAAGGAAGCGAAGGCGTCATGGACTCAGGGGACACCACCTCTGTATCTGTACTCCATTTGGAAAAGTGGCTCCTCTCGCATGGAGAGCTGCTCGTGGACTCCGTCGTACTGAAGTCAGAGAAATGACTGCCAAGATTTTCCGCATCGAGCTCCTTTTCTCGAGCTTCGAGATCACGCAGTGCCTCGTCCATGACTGACGAAGGAGTATTCGGTAGAGTGGGGAGCCTCTTTTCTGTGGAGGTGAATGGCGTAGGGGTTACAGCATCTTCAACTGCCACTGGCAAGGTAGTCGTGAGCAAGGAGATGGAATCCACCGAAGTGACAGAATCTTGAGGGGCATGTGGATGGGCCCTCTCTAGGTCACGATTTCTAGTGGCATTCATCTCATGGTTTGTTTGAAGAGTCAAAGGAGTTCTGGGAGTCGCATGTTCCGTGATTTTGGGATTTAGGGCACGCCGATCCTGGATAGATAGCACCGTATTCAGGGGATGTACGGAAGATGCAGGCCGCCGGGGTAGTAGGGTCTCCTTCGACCTATGGCCCGTCTGATCCGCATGGTGATCCTTCAACGTGTTTTGAGGGGGTTTGAGGCTTTCAGTACGCTCCATGGCAGGCTTGAAGGCCGGTCTGGGCTTTATAGAATCATTATTCTGATTATCTGCCACGTTGAGATCAGGCGAGGATGCATTCCATTGTCGGAAGGCAGCTCGAAGGCCCCTTGATCTTGGAGGAGAGACTGATCGAGCAGTTTTGCTACCTGGCGCTCTGTGACCATGCTGAATTGTAGCCTTAGGCGTCGCACTATTAGGCTGAGAAGCGCCCCTGTTGGTTAATAAACCTAAAGGGGAGGTGCTGAAAGACCAAGCCGGAGTTGGTTGTTGTAGCAGTGGAGGAGATGTACGGAGGCGTGGAAGCGCTGGTTTGGGGGGGTTTCGGGGGTTCATATATTTATCATCAGGGTTCATAGTCCGCTCTTCTGTTTGTTGCGGGCTTGGGCTTCCATCACAGAAATGAATCGGACGTGTATCCGGCAAAATGATAGGAACATGAAGAACATTGACAGGCTGGCCTGGAAGAAGAGGACAATGCGAGGTGAATGGTTCTGCATGATTATAGTGCTCCACATCATCGTCCAGCAAGTACTAACCTAAGATTAGATAAAGCTGCCGAACAGGAGAGACGTGATGATACTAACATAATACCAATATGTGCCGCCCATTTTGAGCCCACCGGAGCGAGATGAACCCATATTCTTCGGCGTCCCATCACATATTATGCTGGTAAAACTATGGCATCCCCTCCAATGGCCCGGACCAACACGCCTGTCATGCTCCATAGGATACGACTTGGTGAAGTTGTCCCATGAGCCTAGCAGTTTGACAGACTTGACCTGGGGATTAGTATATCTACATGGTCATTAGCGTATGCGATGGATTCAGAACGAAGAAAGCAGCTCACAGGAGAAATGTCATTAACGTTGTTGAAGCCATGGTGGTATAACTGAGATGAGACCTAGAAAAGATGGCTATGGCGCGGCGAAGGATGGCAGCAAGGCGAATTGAAGCAGGATAATCTAAATTGTGAAAAGGAAAGAGAGCGACAAGACAATTTCCCCAAGGCCAGCCTGGATAGAGAGATATATGGACAAAGGAGGGTAACCCGGTGTTGTTTTGGGGTGCGTTGTAGAAGTTGAAGAGGTCCGTCCGCGCGAACGTTGGATTAATATAGATCAGTCCGTGAGTATAAGCTCAAGGCTAAGCCAAATGCCATTACAACTCAAATATTTGATACTAAGCAGTCTGCCTCTTGGAAACCAATTGATTCAGTAGCCGCGACGGGAAAAGAGTTAAATTTCGATGCCCCTGACGCGAGACAGAAAGCATTCAGAGCCAATAACACTGGCTGGTCGTGAGCTCTAAGCGCTGACAAGGCGGATAGACGGGGTCGAGAACATTCGTGAAGGAGAGGTAGAAGAATATCGGCGCTTGCTACAGGAGATATTGTGCTTTGACCAAAACTTAAGGGAGTGTGGATATGGATCACTCGGTGGAGAGAAACTGGCTATCCAACAGAGAGCATTGGAAGAAAAGAGTGGAGAGTCCGGACTCTCGCACTATGAACAATGACCGTAAGAATATAAATCAATCGCAGACGGTGGGCATTCGGGTGGAAAGGTAATCAATCGATCAACAAACGCATAGCTCGACCGGCGCTTATCCTTTGAACCGTACGAGATCCACCAGCTTTTGCAAAAACCACGTCACAATGCGCACACAAACCCCTGCAAATCACGAAGGGAAAAGGGTAGCCTTTGAGGCTAGGGGGGGAGGAATAAAAAAGTAGCGAAGACGCGATGAGATCTGAACATGGTTCCCGGGAGTTCCAATCGACCACTCACGGAGCGGAGACTGGAGCTGAATCAGTATCCTGTACCTGGCGAACCAAAGACTACTGGGCCTTAGTTGCCCTTAGTACTAAGTAGAGGAGCCAAATGGGGGGCGGGTGGACGAGATGGATCACAACTTTCCAGCTAACCATGCGGTGGCGGATCATGGTGAGAGAAGCGAACCACTTCTGGCTCCCATGGAGACGCTCTCTGACGAATCTGATTGCATGGAAATCCGGAAAAATAAAAAGGGGGTCTGCGTGGCTGGTGACAATACCGTACGGAGTACACGATGCTGAGCCACTGAGAACCGTGGGAAGGAAAAATCCATCTGCAAGTGATTCATGGATGATCAAGGAAATTTAAACGGAAGCTACCAAGGAGTACTTCACCACCTCAAGAGATACTTGAAGAATCCCTCAGAATGACCTGCTCTCGAGTCATCGTAGCACCAGACCTGCAGTGCCAGTCCAGTCACCAATCTTAGGGGGGAATTGAAGGTTAACCAGTCAGTTACCTTTCCTACCTCTAACCAGGTAACGTAAGGGTAGCAGATTGATTACCAACTTTTTTTTCCCTCGCCGATCCGCCCTACTCCATCCGCCACGTGAGGAACAGGTGCCACGACGATGCATAGTATTCTTTACCGTATTGGCCTTACCAGGAGTTACAACTTACGACAGCAACCGGTTCAGGACTGGAACGACAGATCAGATCCCATTTTTCTAATAGGGAAATAATCATCTTCATTTGGGGAAGCACCAGATGTAAACAAACCTCCAATGTGAACCTTATGTACTGTCAGCGGCCAAGGTTGGAGCCTACTGAAATCTCCCTAAACCATTTGTCAAGATTTATTCGCTTCTCGACTGAGCTAATGGGAATTCTTAATAGCACTAGGACTTGGCCGAAGATCCATCCTCACGGACCAGCCCTCAGCTTAAGGATAGAACAGGCTAAACTTACTAGTCTGGAGACCGAGTCAGGAAGACTAAGACCATTGGTAATGTCGATGTCGCCTTTGTTCAATCAAATCGTCGGGAATTCATTACAGCACTATCTCTTAAGGAAGCCGGGCGCTACTCGGCCGACCCTTGGGTGCTGGGCAACCGACGATCAACCTAAAGTAAACACAAGGAGACTGTAGGATAATATCATCCTTTATTAATAGTATCAGGGCCTTCAATCTTATTTTTTGGCCAATAAGCCATTGCCGTTCACTGTCCAGCAATGAAATCATCACCACTCCTAGGGCCACGCAGAAAAAAAAAAAAAGGCATTCGTTACAATCTGTCTCAGCGTCCTTCAAATAGAACAGAAATGGAGGTAAGAAAAGCATAAGAGGAACGCCAAAGAAAAGAAAACGAAGGGTTATTGTGTTCAGCTAGTGAGCAAATCAAATCCATGTGTAGCTCGGGATTGTCGGCGGCTACGCGGCGCTTGCTGCGACCCATGCGAAACTCATTTCCTTTATCTGTAACAGACCGTTGAGTTTGAAAGCCACCGATAATGAATGGAATAGAATAGGCGTCAATATCTGAAAGGCCCTGTGCGTTTTGGGACGAAACAGAAAGCAGAAGGTAGGTCAGCGGAACGCGTTGCATTTGTCATATTTGCGATTGACAGCACCGAGGACGCATTTCAAAATCCCGTCCGCGCTCAAGGTCTGACCCTTGTCACCCTTCCATGGCACTGTGTCCACAATATCTCGCATGCCCTCGTTCTTTGACTTGTGGCCTAGGTCATCATCCAGCATCTGCAGATATTCCTGTGCGTGTTTGTCATCCCCAACTTGGAAAAACTGGAGGCCAACCTGCCATGGTGTGGCATTGCATTTATCCAACCTGTTGGCGGTGTTGATGATAACACTTTCCGCATCGTCCGTGAACACCCCGTCTGTGATTGTGATGATGTTCAGTGGCTTCACAGACTCGCTAGGGTCTCTTCCTTTGGCTGCTATGGCCTCCACGCGACGAAGGTATGGGTCCAGGATCTGCCGCAAACGACGCCCAGCCGGAGTTGCTCCTCGCGGCTCGACGCCGTAAAAAATCTCGCGGACATTATCCGCCGTCGTGATGTTAGTATATGCGCCAGTTTTGGGATCTGTCCCTCCGTGTTGATAGTTTAAGAAGTAGATATCAATGCCATCTTCGTCATATTCGGTGCAAACAGGAGCGATGGCGGCAATAGCATCCGCAGCCTCCTGCCAGCGACGCCCTCTCATGCTACTGCTGTCATCCACCAGGAATACTGTATCAAACTCGCGCAGGAAGGCGTAAGGTGAATCTCCGGATGACGAAGCCCTGGATACCGGAGCGTTTGAAGGGTGCTGTGGTGTGTATGGAGGAGGGGACCAGAGATCGGCATTTCCTGCTTGAACAGGTGCATTTTTGGCCTGCATATTGGTTGCAACCTGCTGACGTCGATCGTGCTTTGATGCAGTATTAGACCGTTTGCGAGACACAGAATGGCTTCGAACTCGTGACTGATGGTTGCCCATAATCCAGTATGGAGTGGTTGCGGGCAGATGGTTGGGTGAAATTAATACTAGCGGAGGATATGTGGAAGATGGTAAAAGGGTGGGTACAAGACGTTGACAATACGCTTGTACGATCCGTGTATATGCGACTACTAATGACGTTTGTAGATGAGGTAAGTCGTAGTAATAGTTGTTACTGTACTAAGTGGCCGGTTCTGTGAGTTCTCCTTCCTCGAACCATTGGAAGGACCTGGGTTGATTTATAAAAACAATGATGGAGTCGTGAGAAATGGGAGATTCCTATCAGGTGTCACATCCAAGAAAATCATCCACCAAAGACCGGATGACGCATTTTATTAGAATCATCTCGTATCCAATCTCATGAAGACATGATTAATCGTTCCACAGGTCTGGAACACGAGTGAATGGAATCGCTCGACAAGGGTTAGGCGGAATCTGCGACCTTCCCCGCCAGAAAGCCGAAGGGTTCCTAAGGCGGAACAAGGCAGCTTCCTCTGTCACACAAACAGAGTCAAAATGGATGTTTCCACATATTAACGCTGGTTCAATCCCCAGACCAACTCCGTGATGAAGCATAAGGCACAATTCCAGTGGAACAATCCCTATGGGGCAGTGGTGCCCTGACCCCACAATTACTACATACTTTGCCCTACGTTGACTTAGCGTCGCTATTGGGAGCAAGGGATGCATGCAGCCATGCTATGATAACATACACTGTTAGAGTTAGTTTGCGCAGACGAAAAGGGGGCACTACTAGTACTAGTAGTACGGTAGTGCTATTTGAACCCAAGGAAATGATGTACAGCCTGTAAGGCGCAGCACAGTGGTCATACCTTAAGCATTCGTGCACAGCCCCGTTCGGCGCCCTATACAGTGGGTCGTACCACCAAACACGAAGGTCCCAAGGCAATGAATGATATATGATGGGGAATGACAAAAGTAAAAGAAAAGTAAAAAGAGCGTAAGGCAAAAAGTATACAGAGTACTCACATCGACTTATGGTATAGGAACATAGGTGCAATGTGTATCCTCCAGCGGCAAGCCGGCGGTATTCCAAGATGTTTCCCGGTGGAACGGTCTAACAGACCTGAAGATATCCAAAAGCCTCTATATACCCAGAATTGAGAATCACTACGAATCAACGCCAGGTAGATCGGCATATCGGCTATTTATACCTTGAAACGGTTGTACATGTTCTGTTATGTACTGTAGTGCATCAGCTAAAGGTGATACGCCCGCCACCGGGCGCTCGATCCATCCTGGACGGCGCGCGACAGGGCTACAAGTCGATCTCCTTAGACTAGAGGCTAAGTCATAGGATGAACTAAATAGGTCTAAATGACGCTTGTTATACCTATTCCTGGATACGCTTACCAGTCCACTGACCATGAGTAGTTTGTGTCTCCGAGACAAATGCTTCTTGAGACGGGTCAAAAGCACATCCCCTAAAAGTCATCAATATACTTACTATTGAATTGTAAGAAAAACGTGCAACAGCCAGGCAGAAGTATGGGTGTCAGATCTTCCAACAGGGTTCGAATCGCTTGTATAGGTTATAGGGTATGGGTGGCGCCATGTAGTATGTACATTCTCTGCCGTCTTGCTAAGCTAAAGACCCATAGGACGAGTGACAACACAACTATCAAACATTTATAAATTATCAGACATCCGTCATTTCAGAATTCAAATCGTTCATGTTACTTACACACGATACGTTCTCGAAAGGACTCGTGTACATGCATGTTTGGGGAGCTGGTAAACATATACCCTATGGTTGGCCGTTCTCCAAGGATTGCATCTCACGCAATCAGTCAACCTGGGAATACACAAAAACACTGAAAGAAAAGCGATGGCATGGGTAAATCAAGATGGGGTATTGTCGTTAACATAATCGGAATATAAACAGAAGATGAAATATATATGCGTAAGTCATCCTTCGAGACCTTGTCCAATGCCATCAACAGCGGGGAGGTGATCAGGAAGCCCACGTCCCTACCAGGACTCGATTCGTCGCCAGTGAAACAGTCTCACGGAAGTAAATGCCATCATCACCATCCCCTACACCGTCGAAAATTCCCGATTCGCACTCTAGGACCTCAATCAAAGCCAGAGCTTGGTCTACACCCATGCTATGACCGATGAGCCGAAAGCAGGAAATCACCCATTTGCGCAAAGGATGATTCAACGACTCCGTCGCTCCCGCGAGAACCAATGGCCAAAGAAGAAGTAGGCCAGCGACGTAGCTCTGATTCACGGGGAGACTATCGAAGGGACCCATCGGGATGTTCCCCACGCTAAAATGATATGGGACGCTGGCACAAATGTCGTTGGCGAGCTGACGCGTCGTATTGCGCAGTCTAGTACAATGATCTAGAAGATCACTGGAAATCGCAGCTGCCGGCACATTGAGGGAGAGTTGACGCAGGCAGGTTAGGATGATTTCGCTCACAATAATTCGGGCACAGCGATATTGGTTAAAAGTATGGCATGTCCAGAGATCGCTGTATATGTGATATTTGTTGTTATATGGATGTGGCCCCTGACCCCACATGTGGGTTGAAATGTCCGACAATGTAGGGGCTTCAACATTGGTGTACAAAAACTCTGGGGGTAAGGCTGCAATCCATCCCATTAGCTCTGCTTCAATGCCATAAGCGGCAGATAGGATCTCATGTTGGTCAACTAAAAGCCCCATGTTAATATCTGCTCGTAAATTGGACAGTCTGCCCGCGATGCCAATCAAACGGTCGCCATAGACATCGACCCTGGTCCGCAGAAACATGGCAACCTTCGAACAGTCAATCAGTGACTCGGGGACCCGCATCGCTCTTTGGAGGCAGCAGATGATCTGGCCCGTGTCATTAGTATCTCCGGGGACAAGCAATGGAGTGGGAAAGAGGGACTCCTAGTTCAACATACGATCTGAAATCTTAGCTGAACAAACAGCTTCAGTCCATCTTCGTCTTGCAGTTGCTCCGGGCCTCGTACTTCCAGTAATGCGGCAGCACCATAGATATGATTCGTCCATTTCTCAATGTTTCCCGGGGCTCTACTCGTGACGACCTATATTTTGATCGTTAGTATGATGTACAAGTCTGGTAAATGGGGAGAAGAAGACGGGTGCAGTTTACCTCAAAGATAGCCAGTAATAGAACCGCACCGAGGGTTGGATTAGACTTGGCCTCCTCTTCATCCATCACAGCGGTATACATTAAATTCAAAGCATTGCCATATTCTTTCTCCGCAGCAATCTTCAGAGGTCCATCTTGTCGGATACGTGAAAGCATGGCAGTCCCGACCGCAACAAGGCTCGCCTTCATTGCCTGCTGGCTGAGAGTTACCTCTGGAATCACGAAGAAATCCGGTGAGAATTCCATTATCCAACAGGCCCCGGGCCACGCGTTAAAGCGAAGGAAAAAGCACACAGCTTCATCTTGGGTAAATTGGTATGACGGAGGGGGGGCGATTTTCGGGGACAGGGGACCGGTGACTTGCTGAGCCGCCGGAGGTGATGGATACAGATCTGAAAGATCGTTGAAATCAGAGATATCACTTGCTAGGGACGAAGACGTGGTGGTCCCTCGAGGGCTACTCCCGCTTGGGGAAAGCATGCGAGTGGATTTATGGGACTTTTTAGCCCGTCGTCCGGTGGTACCGGCTTTGGCCTTCCGGACCACCTGTTGGCTTTCATCACGGAACATCAACGACAATTCATCTCTATATCCGGGACACACGCGGTTTCCCTTGATACACTGGGAGCATGTTGGCCGAGCCTGATCACACCGGATCTTTCGCGATCGGCATTCACCGCAGCCTTTGCTCGGTTTCCCGCAGAAGACCATGTTGGACAAGGCGGGGCTGGTGGCACGAGGCCCACTGGCAAGATACACTGTTGTGCAGGATGATATGATATGGAATTAAAGTAAGGGGGTGTGGATGTTTGGCTCGAATCGGTAACCCATGCGAGATGCCGAGAGTACATTAGTGTGTCTGTCTTACAGCGGTTTAGAACAAACAGGTGGACACCCGATCGGTTTAGCGGTTCCAGTATGACAGGGCTAACAGTGCAGGGACCTTTTTAAGGCGACAGGTCATGCCCATTGTCCAAGTTCGGTTGATTGTCGGTTGTGTGAAGTTGATGGGAAGGAAAAGGAAGGGGAGGAGGGAGATACAGAGACAGAAGAGGATCCCCCACACGACCCCAACAACTCCCCTTCCCTAAACCCGTTCGGGTAGGCGTTGCGGACATCCTTTCCCGAGGCAGTTTAATCTCTTGTATCCGCCCTCAATTTTGAGGCCTCTTTCCTGATTGGTCATCCACCTCCGGATTATGCCCGGAATTAACCCTAATTGAGACTGACAGAAGTAAACTACTAACGGTTTATATCGAACAATCCCATTGTATGCTATGCTTAAGAGAACATCTCCCTTTCTACAGCTTCACTCACAATCCAAACACCAACTTATCGACCCTCACAAATGGAGCCGTTCATACCAACCCTCCCCCCAGAACATCTGACGAGTCAGCATAAGATGAAGAGATATCAAATTCAAACGGGCGACAGCACAACCGCGGGGCACAATGTAGCACTCAAAGAGGACTTCACTGGCTACCGACAATCAAATACTTGTCTCCCGTCGACATCCTCGCCCTCTGACGGACTGGGAAAAACTCAGGGGCGTCACCGCGAAGTTGAGGGTCCCTGGATTGAGTTCCCGTGTGGTTGATTACTGTTTCCGGTCTATGGCCTCCCCCTGTACCATTCTCAGGGTACAGGGGTTGCTGGTATGGGTATGCCTACCATAAGATATTTCATCAGTGTTGATACTGTCTAGACATGCGAGAACTCTTACTTACCGGGCATGCTTGGTAGTACGATACCGGAGCGATGCAGGGCATAGCAGGTGCAGCAACAGGTTGATATGGATAATATGGAACGGGTGGGACAGGCCGAAGATATGGAGAGGGATGGAGCGGCTGACTATGTTGACTTGATCGAGTAGATTGGCCTGATAGGATTGGGTGAAAAGGCTGAAATTGTGGTATCGGTTGAACGGCCTGGGCCGGGGGAAACGGCTGGCCAGGCGGGACAAGTCGATCATGTTGGCTTGAATAGCCCACCTGGGTTGGTTGAGAAAGTAGAGGAGGCTGTCTTGGAGGAAAAGTGTTGGGGGCCTGGTTTCCGTTCCTCCTCATTCCAGGGTCTTCATGCTGGTTGTAAAAATCAGGGATCGGTCCAGGACTCCAGACAGGAGGAGTTCCCGGTGGTGGCGGACACAAGAACGAGCTGGGAGGAAGTCTATCATGCGCCAGGGGAATAACACCATGTGAAGAAGGCATCGAACCAGGTGGCACCGAAGCAATGGGTCTCGGAAATACCGGATATGGTGCCCCGTAACTGGGGAGAAAAGGTTGCAGTGAGTATGCGACACTATGACAATGCTATAAGATATACAGTTAGCCCGTATATTTATACCCGAGGCTTAGTATGATACGGTACTTACATGGCCGGTTTGGCGTCTCCGGTACCTTCCACCTCTTGTCATGGTGCGAGCTAGAATACCCGGCTGAATCAAACTGGTGGCTGTTTTAGATCCTAAGTAAGGATGCAACTGTCACACCTCGTCAATATTTCATAAATTAAGGTATCACACTGAATGAGAATAGCCTACCTTGAACTGTGGTAAGGGACAAAGAGAATCTTGTGGAAGTAACTCTGGCCTTGATTGTCGAATGAGGTCTGAGACAAAGAACAGGTCTACTAGTACTAGTACTAGTGACAAGAACTGCGCCTGTGGTGGCGTGTGAAAAACAAAGCAGCCAGACAAACACAACGTATCAGGAAGGAAGAAATCCTGACTGTATAAATTGCCGGCCTCAGGCTTTTGTTCTCCTCCTTCTTTCCTTCCTTCTTCACATCTCCCCCACAAAGGGCGCGAGCACACCAACATGCTTGTGCTCGCGCCCGTTACTTGCAACTGTTATTTTAATGCATTTTTGAAGCTTCTAAAAATCACAGGTACAGTTTATGTATTGTGATCTGCTTTATTACCAGCTTTCAACTGCTTTTTACATCTCCTTTTGTTGCTCAACCATTGCTGTGGACGCCAACACGTAGCTCAATACAATTCAACCCAGAAAGATATAAGACCACGAATCGTCATTCATACAGATATCATTCTCTGAAGGTAATCTAATATTTCCTCTATTTTTGTCAGTTTCTATGCACCTTTCTTACCTCTTCTTCCTTTTCATTTTCTTTTCTCCACTTCCTTAAAAAACAACGGCAAACAAAATAACAAAAAGGAAAAGATAACCCGTCTCAAAGGCAAGACCTACTCCTGTCCTCACTTAGTATTGAAGCTGACTCGTAGTAGTTATTTGCGTCCATAGAATTGAGGAAGGAGCAGTCCGCCCTATTCATGAAAGGAAAGAAACATATGGCAGCTTGACATTCAAAGAAACCCCCTATTCTCTAAATCGTCCTCGCACACCTTCCACGAGATCTAAGCATTTACCAAGCCAGTCATCTCAGTGGTGGAAGGTAGTAGGCATGCTCAACTTAACGTTCATCTTAGCCACTGAGAACTAAGCATCGGATAGGCTAGTTGATATCCAATCCTCATTCATTTGAGCCCGAATCTGGGAATATGATTCAAACAATATGCTTTCAGAGAGGCATTTGTCTGCGCGTTTCTTAGACACCAATGCTTCAGCCTCTGTGACTTCTTTCTCAATGCTGTTGTAATCACTGACTTGCTGCTGCAATGACAGCGCCATCTAGAACCATTCATTTGTCAGTTTCAAAGAAGCAAAAAATTATGAATGTGAACAATACTTACGCGGAGATTTCGTTCCCGCTTACTCGGAGTGCTCTCATCCCGCGCTTTGTTGCACAGTTGCTCCACACAAGCGCGGATATCATCCAGGGTCTTAGGCAGCGAGCTAGAGGCACTTCTCTCAATATGGGGAGCTTTCGTCTGAGAAGTGGTGGTGTCCAGTTTAGTCGGCCCCACAACATGCGACAGGTTAGTTTGCTTCTGCACAGGCGACATAATTGCTTCGGTGCCTTTGCTGGGGCGCCTAGTGCGTTGAGGACTCCCAGTGGTGGCAGCCACTGTATGAGTCCTGCGCGTCGGACCTTGAGGAGCGATAGCTGGTTGTCCACGTGGACTAGTCACGGCCCTGGTGCGTGCTGCCATTGTGGACCGGGCGAATGAAGGCATGTTTTCTGGTGATATTGGGATGGGCGCCGAGATTGTGGGTCTTCTGTGTCTGTCTGTTGAGGGCATAGGGAGGCGTAGGCTTTTGTTCCAACCCTCAGATAACTTGAGGTGCTTGGCGCTTGCATGAGGTCCTGTCCTTCCAGAGTCGAACTTGCTGTATTCGGGACTTGTGGTAAGCTTCGCGCTACTGGAGTTCGGGTCTTCGAATGCAAGGCCAGATGCTTCGTTAGGTCCCTTTTTATCCTTATCCATGGTGCTTCTATGCTTGAAGATATTCCGAAAGCCATCAAGCATACGGTTGCTCCGGGAATCAGGAATCCTGGCGCTTTGGGGCGTCACATTGTGGCTAGGACTTTGTGATATGATGCCGTCAAATGCCCTGTTCTGGACTGAGAGTGGCGCATCGTGAGTGGGGAAGTCGGACACGGCTTGCAGAGACGCTGTCCACTTGTTCTGAGGTATTATTATAACCTCACTCTCTCCTGGACTTTGCCCAAACTCTTTAGCTCTGGGAGAAGCTGTCTCTTTTGGAGTCACTGGGCTAGATGCCATGCCTCCTTTTACTAAGGCTTCGTATTGCTCAGGGAGTTTTGGTATGGGAGGAGTAGGCTGCATATTTTCGCAGCTGGGGGTGGAAAGAGATGATAGGCTTGGACTGTTGACAGGTTTGCGTGGAATTGAAAATTTGCGGCCACCGGTGTCCCTCCTTGGGGTTGTCTCAAGCAATATCTGGGGAGGGTTGGATGGCGGAATAACCGGGATGTCTTCAGCGGTGTTGTTGTCTTGATGTCTGAATCCTGAGGTCCCTGGTGTATCCTCTATGTTACGACGCCCTTCCTTGAAGACATGTTTTGGTGTATCCGGATACTGAACGGGGGCTGGGTGTGATCGTTGTGTGACTGCATACGTGCTGCCAGGGCTATCCGGGCCCATGATAATCTTCTCGGCTGAAGGGGCAATTCTGAGGGTAGGACGAGTACGATACTCACCAGTATACACATTGGTGGGTCGTTTGGGCATTCCCTCTTCAAGGTCCCAACCGCCAGATGATGATGAGGAAGAGGCGATATTCTCTTTCGGCTGGCTGGGTGCTTGTTCAATCGAAGTCGAAGCTGAGTCTTTTTTCTGCTCAGCCAAAATGTGGGGGCGAGGACCACGAGGCTTCTCAATCACTCGAATACCACCAGCAAACCCATCACCCCGTGTCTTTGAACGACTGTTCAGGCGCTCAGGACTACGGATTGGGATCGGAATTGGAATTGAGCTGCTCTGCTCTGAGATGACTCGGGCCCCTTTCTGTGAAGTAGCAAGTGATTCCTGGCCTTGTCTATGAAAGACTAGTCCACGAGGAATACGGCTAGGGGGCTGGGTGGTGATAGGATTCGGTTTTTTGTGCTCCTGGGAAGTCTCATATTTGCGGGTCTCTTCTGTGAGAATGTTAACAAGAGATAGAGGGGAAAAGTGGAAAGGATGCTCTAGTTACCAGGTTCTCGAGACTTGCCGGAGTGATAGGGCTTTATCGTCGATGTGTCACTCTCACTACATGGGGAGTCAGATCTAATATCTTGATCTGTTTTTAAGCAGATGCAAAGTTAGTGGTGCAAATGAAAGATAACAGCTTATCCAGCGATCCATAGAGAGAGTTTGTAGCTTATCATCGTGTAGATCAGAAAGTATCGTAGCACGAGTGACTCGTCACTTGACGTGACTCTGAAAGGAAGTTCAAGGAAGCTCTACTCTAATGGAGGGAAATCGCGAATAAGTCACTAACCTTTGCTAGCCACATGGGCTTGCTTTTCGGAGCTGGGCGTTTCCTCTTGGCTGTCTGTTGTAGAGTCCACAAAGGGATCGTGCAAACGAGGGGCGTGAGAGGACATATTGAGTAGATGATTGACGTGTAGATGTACAATAGTGGATTCTGAAGACGCTAAAGAGATATTGCAGATAAAGTATTATCTGAACGGCTGGCTGAAAGGATTATGGATGTGTTCAGGATGAGGAATTGGGGAAGGAGTTGGCTGAACGAGATGTTGTGGACATGTGGGAATCTGACTTTCCTTTCCTCACTGAGAGATAAATGTGTTGCTGTGCAAACTGTCGGGGTAAGAGTGTTTCGTTGGGAAAGGATGATGTCGTGCGTGTGACTACCTCATCGCTGCCTGGACTCTCCACACTGAGGCACGAGTATGAGTAGCAGTGCAAACAAATGGGTCAATTACTAAAGGAAAGCAGAAGAAAACGGGATTCTGCAGTTATAATCACCACCATTCACCTCCAGGATAGGGCCTTCTTTAGCTCATTTCCCATAATATCATGGATTTACAGTCAGACCTAACATTCTTTGGCTGTAATTCGGCGTTCCTGGTCAATATTACCTTCTGCTGCTCGTTGGATTGTCCATTGATTTTTGAATTGCAAAGCCGAGTATATGATTCAAGATTCCTGCATATACACAGCTAATGACTGTACATAGCTATAGGATATGTGGGATTTCTCGAGACATTGGCTCATGCCAGTTGATGGCATCTAGCTAATTGCCATCATATCTGCTCGCGGTATCAAAACACTTGATGGGCTTCAACATCTTGAGACTTGGCTCATTCGCTCTCATCTTCTGTATTGAATATTAATCTGAAGGTCCTGGACGAGCATCTTGAAGGAGCCCTACATTGCAAGGATGGAAAATACTTGAGGCATTCTATCAATATGTCAACACGTCTCCCATTGAACATGTCAAGGAAACTCACCAAAATGCAGGTAGGACATATGTCGATTGTTTCTTTGAAGAGTCATGGTTTGGTCGAAAACGTGCCTGATGGGAAGTCGCGCCGTTCAACGATCCAAATGGCACAGGAGCCCCCATCTATACACGTATGAATGCATAGGTGGGAGCTCCTCGATCATTTGTCACAGAAGAGAAACCTATAGGTACTGGATGCTGGAAAGTGACAGAAATCCTTATGAGAACGAGGGGAAGAGTATGATTAATTCAGCAGTGTTCCTTGTTTGAGAACAGATAAAGACGTGCTTCACTACACTGTTAGTAGACATGGAAACGCTAAGCGAGGTCACGACGCGATACCCAATTAGGAAGCCAGGTCTGTGCAAGGAGGATCGCCTCAGGCATGCATAGTCACACTAGGGTTCTACTAGTAATTGCTTATGACATCTATGGCAGAATATGTTCTTCAACATCTGATTTGGTTGATTGCTAGTGTGATGTGTCTACTCTATTATAGGAAGGATCCGCATCTGATAGTCTACTCCAGCCCAACGAGAAAGACGATCTTTATAGTCTTGAGTACAATGTGCTGAGCAAGTATAGTGTTTATATTCATAGACCATTACGGTAAGATCTACCTCGACAGTAGTGAGGTGGCAAATGAGCAGGTTATAAATCGCTTGTAGTACTTGCCGTAATATTAACTACCAACAGATAAACTCTCAGCCCAATAGCTAAGACATGCACTATTATATCAACCTAGAGCCAAAGACTAAATCATGATCACTGTATGATTAAAGTATAGTGCGTTGTGCTTTTACCTTTTTATTCCTTACGGGGATCCACTTTCCTCTACACTAGTATGTTGCCCACGCTTCCTCTTCCCAGACGAACTAGATTGAGCTCCCTCTGACCCATCGTGCGTCCATTCGCTAACCTCCCATTGTATCGTTGTTGACTGATCATCACTGACACCGAACCCACGTCTAGACTTCATCATGCGGCCCAGTCGACTACCCTCGATCATCTCCTCAAACCACGGAATCCCAGCTACCGTGCCTTGTCTATAGGTCTTAGAAACGCCCTGTGCGTCACCTGAGGAAGGTATGATAGTATGAGAAGGGGGCAAGGGTGCCTGCATTGTGTGAAGTGGCACATCTGTCGACCGGTCCTCCCGGCAACCTTCAGATTCCACTTCACCATCTTCATCTTCGGAGAGAAGGCCCAGGTACTCCAGCAATCGTTGATCATCTCCCGAAAGACTCCCAATTGTCACCGACATATAGTTCGCCTCTTCACTGGGAGCATCAGTCCAATATGAGAGAGGTGTTCCGCAAAATCCGCAGAAAGCATGCTGTGTATGTGGGGCGTGAGCGGGGAGAAGATGCGCCGGATTGTCGCGCGCGATTCGTCGTCGAAGTACGATTCGGTATGAGATTGGTACCAGTCCAAAGGAACTCGAAGCCATGCAGTAAGAGGCGTTCCGTGTATCCTTCCTGTTTGAGGTGGATATTTTTAGTGATATCGTTTCTAGATTTATAAGGGTGTATATGACGTACGGCTATCCCGACTACTGTCAAAGTAGATTTCTGCGTGCTCAGAGACGTCCTCTGGGAGCTGAATGAGATATTGATTGCGCCCACAATGACAGGAGCCGCGAAGAGGTTGGCGACTTGTCATTGTGCCTTAAGTGTAGGTTAAGTGCTTTATGATGAGCTATGTTGGTACTAGGTAATAGGTATCTGATCACCGGTATCGTTGACTTAGTTAGCGGCTAATATGTAGCACAAACTCAGAAACCGAGGAGTCAAGAATGACCAATTGCTGTTAGAAAGAGACTTAGCGAAAGACAGTTCCGGGTTACGCATGAATCTACTAGAAAGATTGAGCAGTGGCCTGAGGACGAGCAATTGGCATCGATGACGTAAGGAGCCAAGGCCATGGATCGAGAAGTCTTGGCAGCGCTCGATCCGGCAACTAAATTAATTTCTCCGCACCTTAGGTTACTTTGGGGGATTTCTTAGTGTGTGCTCAAGATTTGATTGTACGCCGAAGCATATAAAAGTGGTCAGTCATGCAGGTCACTAGGTGCGCTTAGAACAAATTCCCCCCTGGGGCTCTCACTCATTAATTGCTTCTTTTTCTTCTTTCTTTTTTTCCCCCTTCTTGTCTGTCTTAATTTACATACTTTAGACACTGGTTTTCTTCGTTTTTCCATTCACATTCCTTTCCAGTTCCCTGGAACCCACCAGCTCTCTTGTACATTTTTACCCACTCTTCCCTCCGTCTATCACATGAAAATCTCTCCGACACACTTCCAGCAACTTGACAACAACAACCTACTTACCTACCTAGTACCTACAACCATGCCATCTGCACAACCACCAGCATCCCTCGCATCTAGCTCTTCTGAGACCTCGTGTTCTCCCGGTCCAGGCACAATTAACACGACCGACGACCGCAATGACCGTTCCTCATCCACCCCCACCGCTTCATCAACCAAGCATGCTGGTTCAAGCAGCGCCCAAGACAAGGAGAAACCGCGACTGACAGAGCAAGAAAAGAAGAACAACCACATTGCATCGGAGCAAAAGCGCCGCGCAGCGATCCGCGAGGGCTTCGATCGCCTAACGGAGTTAGTTCCGGGCCTGGAAGGCCAGGGCCGAAGCGAAAGCATTGTGCTGAGAAAGACGGTTGATTTTATTCACATGCAACTGCAGGAGAGACAGGAGCTCATAGCTGAGATTGAGCGCAGAGGTGGTCACATTGACGATACGTTTCGGCCATGACGTTGGCACGGCCGCCGGGGTTTGCATCCTCAGCCGAGGTTCGATCGGGATTGAAATATGACGATGTTGATGACTTGATTTACGGAGTTGTGCGGATGGATACAATACCCTGCGCTTGGTACTATCATTGCAAATGCCATTCAATGCAAAAGAAAGAAGGCATGGATTGCTTCCCATTTATAAAAATTTTTTCGAGCCACGGTTGAGCTCGCTGTCTTGTCATATCGCGCCCGCCTTGATTATATGGTACTCTGCGTACCTGCTTTTTTGTTATTTTTACTTCTTTTTTACTGTTTGATTCTCCGCTACCTGCTCATTGTACATCGATGTTGGTTTGACAAGGCGCTTTCTATGGTGTTCAGGTGTTGGTTGGACTTGTAATAGTTGAACCGGACTGGGGACGGTTATACTTATTGTTATTTACCGCTTTACAAGTACAATATCAGCTTTGTCCTACCTTTCTTTGTAGGCTAGCTTGGACAAATATACATATGAGGTTCTCAGTCATATACTCGTGTAACTCTTCAGAAGTGGATATGAAAGAGGGGGCGGGGGAGGCAAGGGATCGATCAATATCGGACATATTTATAACCATGGACATTAGAGGATATCAACCCACTATCAGAAGATTTCTAGCAAAAGAAACAATGGATACTCCTTTCTACTACGTGTCCCTAAACTTATTTAACCGTCAATCGCTCAACAATACAATCGCACTAGATATATATATTGCGTGGCCCCAGTGACGACATGACATGTATGATTACTTGTACTTGATTGTTATTATGAAGTAGCATTGCTGCCTATGGGTATCTTGCGTCTTTATTTCCAGTACTCCTTACTTTATGCTTAATCCATGGATGCCACCGTCACCCTTAACATGGCTCTGGATACATGTACCAAAATACCGGATCTTACATCCGCTTGGCACGCGTTCTAGAAGATATGGAAACGAGCCAAATTGAAAAGAAAAGAAAAGAAAAAAAGGAAAAAGAGGAAAGTTGGAAAGAAAGCCAGAAAACATAGCGTGTGGTACACATGTCCCCTATTCAATCATATACATCACTATCTCTTTGAACTGCTCATGTCTGGCTAACTCCTAAATAAATAACAAGTATATATATGGATAGTCCGACACCAGCATAAGCCGATCCGGAAAACCCGCAAGAAAAAGAAAACCACCTTATCGATAGATTCTGCCACGGTCCACCGCCCATCTATCAAGACCCAGAAACTAGAAAGATAGGACTCATATTCGAACAATTTAACCGCGCATCGAGAAAGCTCCTCTATACACGTTCAACTATACAAACACTCCTGCAACCTTATTTACAATACGCCCAAGAAGAACGAGGACAGAGAACATTGTCATCCAAAATGTCCGACTCAAAAACCGCCCTCCTCTCCCAATCCGAACCCATCGACCCCCCACCAGCCTACGACGCAACAAGCAACAACCCACCAGCACGTACACCCCTACCCCGCCCACCGCCGCTCTCCCTCCCAGTGCTCAATGAGCTCCGCAGCAAGCGAGTCATCCTCGCCTCTCAGTCCCCGCGCCGCAGACAAATCATGTCCCACCTCGGCCTGCCCAACCTAGAAGTCATCCCTTCCAATGCAGAAGAGGACTTCCCCAAGACAATGGAGCCATTCGAGTACGTGCTCGCCACGGCCACGAAGAAGGCACAGGCGGTCTATGAACAGGAGATCGTGAACGAGGAGAAGGGCGAGCCGGCGCTGATTCTCGCGGCGGACACCATCGTCGTGGATACGGCTACCGGGACGATTCTTGAGAAGCCCCGCTCCGAGGCGCAGCATATTGCCATGCTGAAGTCGCTACGGGATAACCGTGACCATAAGGTGTTTACGGCGATGGCGGCTATGGCGCCGTTGGTTAGTGCGCGGCAGCCGGGGTATGCGCTTGAGACGGCGTTGGAGGAGACGAGGGTGCGGTTTGATGGGGAGGTTACGGATGAGTTGATCTTGGCTTATGTGCGGACTCGGGAGGGGGCGGATAAGGCTGGTGGGTATGGGTTGCAGGGGTTGGGGTCGATTTTGGTAGAGAGTATTGAGGGGAGCTGGGATAATGTAGTGGGGTTGCCGTTGAAGTCGGCTTTGAAGTTGATTGAGAAGGTGGTTGAGAAGGCTGATGATGATGATCGGTTGTCGGGTGGTCTTGATGAAGAAGTGGAAGAGGAGAGTGATTAGGTTGTAGGGCTGTGGTTGGCTTGCATACGGCATGCTTTTATAAACGCTGGTCGTTTGTACATCTCTGAAGGTTATTGAGGGCTGTATAGAAAGGATTTTTTCAAAACGAAAGAGACATTTGCCAACAGTATCCATTTGAACAGTTACATATCTTTTAGCTCAATACCAAGAGCGCCAACCAGCTGGACTGGCTTACTTTAACAGAAACAGCATGTACATAGGCAAAACGCCTGAACGGAAGGAAAGTTTAAAAAAGAAAGTAATGAGAAACAGGGATATATCAATGCAACGGTCTATGCCTTCCACACCCTCTTGAAAGCCTCTGTTACACCAACGTCGTTGGTCTCAAACTCATACAGACCGACGGCAGTGGTAAGAGTGAAAGCGCGCAGGAGCCAGTTGCAGAATGTAGCGGTCTTGGGGACACGGCGAGCGGGGAAGTAGTCAATGATAGCAGCCCTGCATGGTGTGAGTATCGAACAGGATTAAAGCTTCATCTCAAGGTGGATGAACATACTGGAATCCAATGTGGGAGTGGAGAACGATGAAAGAGCAAAGGACTGCGTCCATGACCGGGTTGAGAGAGCCAGCAGCGAAGGGCGCAATGGTGAGAGGGACAAGACCGGCGGAGATGGCTCTGTTCAGTCATTAGTTCAATATCCTGTCAGGTGCATGGAACCTGAGCTTATTTACACACCTCTCAAAGGTCCAGTGGTAGCTTCCCTCCGAGGGGTGAGGGGTGGGGATGGGAGCAGCGTCGTTCACTACGTAATTGACTAGTTAGTTCCACTGTATCTCCGCAGCAAACAGACAACTCGATTTGAGTATTTCAGGAGTCGGTGATAGACGTACTCGTTCCCTGAATGGTCTCTGCTCGAACTCGTTAGCATCTCTTTCCTTGACATCTAGCCGACCGAGAACCATAACTGATACTATAGTCACGACCAAGTCATATCGGAGTCACTCACGAGGCAAAGGAGGCAGGATCTGCTTCTTCGCGGAGGCATGGAAGGCCACAACCTGCGACACGCCGGCGCCATTTCTGGTCGCAAATGGGGAGCGGAAAGCAGAGAGGCAGGACTGCCGGAGGAGGGAAGACTGGCGGGCGATCGAGGCCATTGTGAAGGTGTTGAAATGCAAGACGTTGGGTATATTCTCTGCGACTCAACGCTGCACGAGGCAAAGCAACAAGTTGAAGTCGTTCAAGTTCGTCAGGATGGAACCTCGGAAGTCCAATCGGGAATGCGGTCATCCTATTGCGGCTCAGCTGATTGGCCCGTCTCTCTCCGCCCAGCCGAAAATGGCCGACATTCCGGCAAATAATATTAATCGGCTATACAGACGGAAAACATGAATGTCTCCCTTACAGCCTTCTTGGAGTTGTCGGGCATCGTTTACATTTACTGCTATTATTGCCTTCGTTACAAAATTATTTTTATCCAGGCATTGTACTATTTTTCTTGAAGATTTATTATATTCCCAACATGATTCATTATAACATCAGTTTACCGAGGTAAACAAATAACGCCTCTCTGCAAAATGAACTATACTCTATGTAATAAAAAGATGAACAGCTTAGAACTTCAGGACAGCTTTGCCCTTGTTCTTTCCGTGGAAGATGCCAAGTAGAGCGTCGGCCGAATTTTCGATGCCAGCAGTCTCGTGGGTCAGAGCTTTGAACGAACCCTCCTTGATCCACTTCTGAACGTTCTCCTGGTGCTCCTTGGTGTACTTGTCACCCATGCCGGCATCACCAACAATGAAGCCACGCATAGTAAGGCGCTTAGTCAAGACGTATTGGATGTTCTTGATGGGGTAGGGGGCCGAGTTGTACTGCGAGATCAGGCCGCAAACGACGATACGGCCAAAGTCGTTGATGGCATTTAAAGCAGCCTCCAGGTGCTCACCTCCAACGTTCTCATAATAGATATCGATACCCTCGGGGGCCAGGCGGGCCAGCGCATCGCCGGGCTTCTCATTCTTGTAGTTGAAACCACCGTCGAAGTTCAGCTCCTTGGTGATATATTCCAGCTTGTCGTCCGATCCGACACTGCCGATGACCTTGAGGCCCTCATGCTTAGCGAGCTGACCGACCAGCTGACCGACAGCACCGCTGGCAGCAGAAACGAAGATGGTCTCGCCCTTCTTGGGCTTGCCGATTTCGTACAGGGACGAATAAGCGGTCAGACCGGGCATACCAAGGGCACCCAGGAAGACACGGATATCCTCAATGCCCAAGGGGTTCTCGAGAGGGCGAATGCGGACGATGGACTGTTCGTCCAGGACAATGTACTCCTGGATGGGGACGAATCCAATGACCAAATCGCCTTCCTTGTACTTGGAGTTGTTGGAGCGGAGGACCTTAGCGATGGAGCTGCTGTCGATGGGCTTGTCCATGGCGAAGGCAGGAGAGTAGGACTTTACCTCAGCGGGGCGCATACGGCCACGCATGTAGGGGTCAAGGCTAGTGTAGAGAGACTGCAGGACAACACCATTGGCAGGAGCGGGAGAGTTGGCGTCGACCGACACGGACTCGACAACAATGTCCTGTCCAGGGACAGGATATCCCTGAGGGACCTTCTTGAAGACGAGAGCCTTGTTCTGGGACATGGTGATGATAAGGTATGAGTATGGATGGGCAAGTAGATAAAGGGAGGATAATCGCAGCAAACAAGTTATGCTGGGTATAGATAGATATGGGTTTATGGGTAAGTGGTTATATCACCTCGAGCTACAGGTTCCTTTTATAGGTCACCACCCCTCAAGCAAAGCGGGGCAGTTCCAATCTCCTCGTATGACGATTATAAAGCAACTAAGATCAGTCCCAAACACGGCGGAAGCTTCTCAAGAGGCAAAAGATGGGGAAGAGACTTGACCGATCCCACGTCCGAGGCAAAGGTTCCGGAAACAGCAAAGTGGATTGACCAGTATGGGTGGCAGTGAACTGGTAGAGCAGTTTGGGTGGATCTCTACATTATTCAGACTTCTTTGGAGGCACGGAAGAGCCTAACCTTCTGGGCAAAACAACCGGAGCTTGCTGATGATCACAAATCAGGAAATGAACAAAGTCTCCGTTGCGCGCTCGGAGATGTTGCTGAAAGTTGCTACGCGAGGTTCACTAATCAATCGGAAGGGGCATACTTACGTGATGGTAGATGGGTGATGTATAATGTAGTCAAGTTCAGAAGAAACTACTAGATATAACTACTATATCATGTTCCTCGTACATAATCCCTCTGGACCGAGCACAACATGAAGTCATGGAATGTTCACTTTTCTTCATCTTAATTTCCTTTTTATTTTTCCTTCAATCTTTGGTTTTGACTTTCATGCGTCCGACGCTTAGTCAGCAACATTTTCCCCAATCGGTTGAATTCAAACCAACGAAACTGTTGACAAGTCTGGATATTGGGAGATTCATGAGCATAATCATAATTGCTGAGTGACGCAATCGATTGAATAGGATAGCAACTTGATCCTCGGTGGACCACAGGCTCATCCTCTCTTCTAGAATATTATTCAATGATGTTGACTAATGTCATACTCTCGTCGGAGGTAGTACTTAAATGATCCTTCGTTCTTGTCAACTGGAACACCCAAACACTGCCTTAGGCCACCAACATAGCAGCTTGATAAGTACTAGTAGTAGTACAGTACAGTATGGACACTCATGCATACTGGACGTACAGTACTAATATACATCCTCCTTGATCGACGTGCTGTCGAGCTTCACATCTGGGATCTGAAAGAAATGGGCGGATCTCTATAATGACTATAGCTACACTTCTATTTAGAACTTGGTACTACTCTAAGCGATGAACAAACAAAAATGGATGGTGGTGTCACTGGTCTGTACGGAGTACCTTAAGGTAAATTACCTCCAGGTACGGATTGTTGTTGTTCCTTGTCGGGATGAAATCCTTCCCTTCTGAGTGGCTGATCGAGATCCCTTCCGACTTGGACAGTTTTTCTGCCGGACATTTTTTCTTTTGTCGCCTCTTGCCAAAACAGCCATCTTTTCTCATCCATCCCTATCTCGCTTTTCCCCATCATTTGAATTTTGTTGAAATATCTTTTCAGTCGATTCACTTTTCTTGATAGTCGGTTCTAGTCTCGAGTCCTTTGAGTACCTTTTCCCATCTCCCTTTGCTCTCATTATGTTGGGCGCTTTCCGCCGAAACGGCGTTGCCCATGCGCTGCGCGCTTCTGCTCCACGATTTCTTTCGGCCAGAGTGACACCCCAGCAGCTACAATGGCATCCACCGGCCTTTTCTGCAGTCTCACATGTTCACCGCTCGCTTTTTCATGCATCTCCAATCTCTTTCTCTGCCGTTGCCGAAGCTCAGGCCGAGAATGCTGAGGCCGACCAGGATGGTCGCCTGTCCAATTTCAAGCAGCTGGCGGATCAAGGCTTGGTCGACCCCATCATTATTCGCACCATTAACAAGAACATGGGCATCAAGACGATGACGGAGGTCCAGAGCATGACAATCCAGGAAACTCTGCAAGGGAACGATGTGTGAGTTTGACTTTTGTCCGCAATGTGGTCTTTGATGCTGACATTTGTGCTCTTTCAGGTTGGCGCAAGCAAAGACTGGAACTGGAAAAACGCTTGCCTTCCTCCTACCTGTGGTGCAAAACATCATCAAGGATCCCACTGTCAAAAAACGTTCTTACAGGCGTTCAGGCCCAGGAGCTACGTCGGCAGATATCCGTGCCATCATAATCTCCCCAACCCGTGAGCTTGCGGAGCAGATCGCTACAGAAGCGAAAAAGATAGCGTCTGGTACTGGGATTGTGGTGCAATCGGCCGTCGGTGGCACTCGTAAGATGGAAGGCCTGCGTCGGATCCAGAGAGAGGGCTGTCACTTGTTGGTTGGTACACCCGGCCGACTCAAGGATATTCTCTCCGACCCAGAGAGTGGGGTCGAGGCCCCTAAGTTGTCTAGCTTTGTTCTCGACGAGGCAGATCGCTTGCTGGATGATGGTTTCGCTCCTGAGATTTTCGAAATTCAACGCCTACTTCCTGACCCGATGAAAGTCGACCGTCAGACGCTCATGTTCTCAGCTACTGTCCCGAAGGAAGTCATGTCCATGGTTCACCAATCTATGAAACCTGATTTCAAAACTATCCAAACTGTCAAGGAGGATGAAGTGCCTACTCATTTCGCAGTTCCTCAGAAGATTGTTACGCTCGATGGCTTCCAGAATTCTTTGCCCGCCATTCTCGAGTTGGCTAAGAATTATCAAGCACACGTGGCTAATGACCGCAGTGCTCGACCTTTCAAGGCCATTGTCTACTTTAACTCCACCATGCAAGTGAATTTGGCCTACCAAGTCTTTAGCAAGTTGCTCAACAACCCCGACGACCGCCGGAGTGGCCACCCTTTGAACAAGATGTACATGATGGAGCTCCACTCGCGTCTGACCCAAAACCGCAGAACGCTTACTTCCGAATTTTTCCGGAACAGCCGCTCTGGTATCCTCTTCTCGTCCGACGTAACGGCGAGAGGCTTGGATTTCCCAGACGTTACTCATGTCATCCAGGTTGGAGCCCCTCGTTCCCGTGACACCTACATCCACCGTATCGGACGTACTGGGCGAGCAAACAAGGAAGGCGAGGGTTGGCTCCTCCTCCATCCTGGTGAAAACGGTTGGATCCAGAAAAGGTTGGGCGACCTTCCTATCGAGAAAGATCACACGCTGGCCACGGCTGTCACGAACATGCGCGAGGAAGTGGGCGATGATGTTTCCCCGTCCGCTGCGGAGTCTGTGGCGCAAGTCAAGGCTGCTATGCAGAAGGTGCCCGAAGACATCCGGGAACAGGCATTTAAGTCTCAATTGGGAACTCTGATGGCAGTCTTCTCCCGTCCGAGAGATATGGTTCTCGCCATGAACGAGCTCGCCGTGCATGGGTATTACCTGCCTGAGCCTCCATCCATCTCGCCTGGAATGGCCCAAAACCTGGGCGTGGCCGACGTAAGGGAGGCAAATGTTTCGGGACGTCGTTTTGGCTCTCCTAGAGGTCAGCGTGGTCCCTCTCGTGGCCCTTCTCGCGGCCCCAGCCAATTCAGGGGTGGCCGTGATCATCGCGAAGGCAACCAAGAGCGCAGCTACGACTCTCGCCGCCGTGGTTCTAACCGCTGGGACAACAGAGACCGCTATTAATCCAGGTAGACAGCATGTCTCTCGCTGACTACCCGTATCTTTCTGAAAACATGGAAAGAACAAACTTCCACTGCATTGGGCGGCGTTCTTTACGGTTACTGCAACTACTCTGTACATTTAGACCAGAGAACGAATCTTCTCCTCTCCGGATGTATTTTTATCATGTATGCCGGTCTGTCGCTTCGAGATACCATATGACTTTTCTTCTTCTGATCTGTCTCGATCTACCGGGCGTGTTCTAAGTCGGGGCACAGAGATTATGATCTAGACTGTTATCTTCTTTATTGGATATATTGAACAGGGACAGACGGACACCCGATATGTATTATGTATTTGTATCAGTCTAGATAGGTTCGTCAGTTTTTAATGGTATAAAGACATCTAATTTCCACAATGACGTGCTAGTTCTTATTCCAGACCTAGCGTAGCAGGTTGGCATTCTATCCCTATATTGTAGGAGAAAAGCTGCTACAACCTTCCTACCCTTGGCGAAAAACACTATATTCTCCGGAATCTGAAGACTTACTCGGCATGCCGAAGAACTCCAACAGATCCATCGGAAAGTGGGCCGGTCTATAATGAGAATAAATTAAATTCTCAGCATAGTCTATCAAAATTACCCACACCCGAATCCATGGTAACCAAGCCAAACCCAACGCTTAATAACAGCACCCAAATCAAAAACCACAAGTAAAATACACAAGTAACCGGGAATAAGAAAGAAAGAAAGAAAGAAAGAAGAGAAAAGACCCTAATTACTATCCAAAACAACCACTTCCGCCTCCGCCTCCCCAAAACTCTCCACCGAAATCATATCCCCGACATTCACCCCCTCCACAAACGCCCCATCCCCCTCCTCCAACACCTTATCCTCCCTTCCATCCAACTGAATCCTGGCCCCTCCCTTCCGGCTCGCCGGCAAATGCACATACACATTCCGCTTCCGCCGTGACTGCACCGCACCCTCCCCGCCGCCAACCGCCCACCGAAACGTCTTCCCCGACTCGAGGATCCCCGCCCCCATCACGAAATCCGCATGGATGGGGATCGTCCCGGAGATGGCGGGGACAGCAGCCTCCTCCTGGGCAGGGGTGGCCTCAGGCCCGGCAGCCAGGGGAGAGATAATGGGGACGAAGGACTGGCGCTTCGCGTCGTCGGAAAAGCTCAGCGTGTGGTACTGAGGCTTGAGGGAGGATTTCCAGGGGAGGACCCAGATTTGGAGGAAATGGACTGGTTTGGAGGGGTGCTCATTTTGTTCGGAGTGGGCGATTCCTAAAGTTTTTCATTCATTACTCGTTAGTTTCTCTCTCTCTCTTTCTCTTCTTCGTCTATGTTCGGTTCATTCCATCAAGGAAAGATAATATAAAAAAAAAAAAATGTAGGGGGTACTAACCACTCCCACCAGTCGTAAACTGCACATCCCCGCGCTTCATACGATAGAAATCCTTGCCCTGGGCGCCTTCCTTGCCTTTTTGGATCATGCTATCGCGGTGCGTCAGCTCGCCGCTAAGAATGTAGCTGAAGATCTCGGCATCGCGGTGTCGATGCGTCGGGAAGCCGTTGCGGGGTGAGACGCGGTCTTCGTTGAGCACGCGCAGACACCCGAAGTGCTGGAATCGGTGGTCAAAATAGTCGGCGAAGCTGAAGGTGTGGTATGTCTTCAGCCAGCCGCCGTGTTCGGCGTACCCGCGCTCGCTGGAGCGGCGGAGGATGATCTTTGCGTGGTTTAGTTTGGACATTCTTTTGTCTCTCCTCTCTCTCTCTCTCTCTCTCTCTTCTTGTTCGTTCTTCTTTTCTTCTTTTTTCTTTAGCTTTCTTTTGTCTGGGATTCGGCTTTGGACGGTAAGAATTGGGTGTTTCTTCTTTTTGGGGTGTGCAATTGAGCTGGGGAGTTTGGGGGACTTTTATAGTATAGGGTTTAAATGCATGACGTATGGTTGGTTGGGTTGGATAAGCATGGATAAGAACTGACTAACCCTGGACTAACTACTACTAGTTAGTCTAAGCGCCGCATAAGCAATTGACAGATCCTCACGTGGCTTTGGGAATTTCTGGAATGCGCCAGGTTTCTGTACCATTTCCTTTTGTTATTTTTTTCTTTTTCTTCTTTTTTTTTCGTCTTATCTTTTGGTGGATCTATATTTAATTTAATTTTATTCTGTTCTATAAGCAAGGCATAATACGGTCTAGTTGAGTTTAGCATGTCACCGCTAACTTCTCACCATGACTATCGCGCAAGGATTGAAAGGATACCATGCCCCATACGTACAGAACAGGAGAAACTTTATACAGCAGAAAAGTATGTCATTAAAGGTAAAAATCAAGCATCTATTCATCTGTATGAATCAATCCACATCTACCCCTATCGGACATCGTCATTCGTAGATATAGATTTTCGGGTCGACCGCGGAAACCAAAAGTACAAGGATGATGTCGTCTCAGTGACACATCAGGATATTTTATGGGAAAGGAAGCTGAGAAAGAAACAAGGATCAACCCGTTCTAGATGTAGTCAAAATTCCAGTTGCTCTACTCGCGGGCAATCATGTCATCGCGAGCGGGACCGGTACCGATCCATTTCACAGGAACGCCACCCAGTTCGCGCTCGATGTACTCGATGTACGCGCGCGCATTGGCAGGAAGATCCTCGTACTTCTTGATGCCCATGGTTTTGCTCTTCCAGCCGGGGAGAGTAACGTATTCAACCTTCACCTTCTCGAGGACCTCGGCGTCGGCAGGGATGGTGCTCTCGGTGCGGGTGCCGTCGGGCAGGATATAGGCGACACCGACCTTGATCTCGTCGAAGTCGTCCAGAACGTCCAGCTTGGTCAGGTTCAGAGCGGTGTAGTGGTTGATCGCCTGCGAGTAGCGGCAGACGACCAAGTCAAGCCAGCCGCAGCGACGACGACGACCGGTAGTGACCCCGAACTCCCTGCCGACACTCTGCAGCTTGTCACCGTCGTCATTGAACTGTTCGCTAGGGAAAGGCCCAGAACCGACACGGGTCGTGTAGGCTTTCACAACACCGATAACGGATTTTATGCTAGTGGGGTTGAGAGACAGGGCTTGCATGGCACCGCCCAGGCCGGTAGACGAGGAAGTAACGTAGGGGTAGGTTCCGTGATCCAAGTCGAGCATAAGGGCGTTCGCACCTTCGACCAGGGTGTTCGGAGAGTCCTTGTATTTTTGAAGGAAGGCCAATTGGTCGACAATGTAGGGCCCCAAGAGTTTGCGGTATTCCTGAGTTTGTTAATACAACTTCTGCCACACACGCCTCAAGGAGAAGGAGGGCCAGCAGTATCCTACCTTGAATTGCGCGAGCTCCTCGTCGACGTTGTATTCCAAATCGCCGAATCGGGCACGATATCCGGCATCCAGAGAGCGCAACTTGCGTTCGAAAACTGCCTCATCCAGAATCTCTCCCACACGGATACCCCTGCGAGAAGCCTTATCACTGTAGCAGGGACCAATACCCTTGCCAGTGGTGCCAACCTTGCGACCACCCAGCTTGGCCTCCTCCAAACCATCTACAACGGAGTGCAACTGAAGGCAGACATGAGCGCGGTCGGAGATGAAAATGCGCTTGCTAGCACCCTCGAGACCCTTCTCCTCAAGAGAGGCCAACTCCTTGAAGAAGCTGGGAACGTGAACGACGGTACCAGCACCGATAAGGTTGATACACGAAGGGGAGATCAAGCCAGAGGGAAGAATGTGGAAATCATAGGTCTTGTTACCAATGACAATGGTATGGCCCGCATCTGGAACGAAGAGTCAATATAAATGGAACAATGCATGCTCTCAGTAGAGGCCGACTTACTGTGACCGCCAGCGGCACGACAGCACAGCGTAGCCTGCTGCGCGAGCATATCCGTAATCTTTCCCTTTCCTATACCATCCGAAAGCAATCAGTATGTCTCAATGTCTCGAAATCCCCGAATCAAACCGGAGAGAGCGGATTCCCCACCTTCATCACCCCACTGGCTACCCAGAACGATTGAAACACCCATGATGGCTGCGCAAATATGCAAATATCGGAGATCTACAAAAGACTTTTAAACCGCATTAGTACCAGTCCTCAATTGGTAATCACAAACGTGTGGCTCATCCTATGTGGTGTATTGGAGGGAGACGGCGGGGTCCACCGGATGGAGACTGACATGATTCCGATAAACCGGATGTTTAATCGACTTAGTCAAATTAAAACAGACTGGGCAATAAAGGCGAATGCAATTGGTTTATTACCTGGGAGGTAGAAGAATCTAACCTGTACCAGAAGTAAATGGAGCAGCGGCGAAAACTTCGCGACCGTCAAAGACCAAAAAGCCGAAAAAAGAAAGGGAGGGGAACAGCGGAGGCAAAGATAATATATGGTGACGGGGGACGCTATTCCATGTGACTCAGCGCCGAGTAACTACCGTACCGTTTCGTTTGGTCATCGACAACGAATTTTTCCCTGTTACCTCCCTTCGCGAGCCTTGGCCTCACCATTTCTTACCGTTTCGTCCCGTCATCGTTCCTCTCATGGCGGGGTCGTGGGGTCCCTCTTCGGCAGGTGGCGGCCTTAGGTTAGCAAGGGGAGGTCCTGGGCCGCAATCGGCCTAGGGCTCGGGGTTTAGGGTCTTTCCAGTCACGAAGTTACATTCATTTATTACGACTTTGATAGATAACGAGCCCTGGTCTGGATGTCAACCTGTACTTGGATCCAGTATATGCTCCCGTGAAATGAGCGGCTTCTCGCAAGCCCACAATGCGCCAGGCCTACAATGTATATATAATACAATGATACGAATGTCTCATCCCCTCTAATGTCACATAAATTGGAACAACCCCAATGCACCAACGCCCATCCTATGCAAAAGCGAAGAACCAAGAACCCCAGAAAGTAGATCGAACTCCAGCCTTGTATGCTTCAGATGACTTTTCCTCCATTCAGAATCCACTCCCGCGTCTGCCCCAGTTTCAGTATGCACTCCCGATGCATCTCCCGTGCGACCTCCCAG